GGTCAGTAGAATATGATGGACATGACATTGTGTAAGTTCTCAGAGACTAGGCCTTTAAAGATTCTGTAGCTGCTGCTCTTGCTCTCTTAAAACCTGGGACCACATGCTGTGAAGAAACCCAATTTAGCCTATAGGAGGCTGAAAGTCCACCTGAAGGGTAACTGAAGGATAACCACCCTGGTTAACAGCCAACTTCACTCTTTGAATGAGGATATCTTGGCCCCTCCAGCCCTTACCCAAATTGTTAGATGTCTACAACTGCATGAATGATCTCAAGAAAAATCAGCAGAAGATTGCCCATAGAATTGTGAGGAATATACAATTTAATATATTGTGTATTAAACCATTAAGTGCTTGAGATGGCTTATTACACTTCAATAGATAATTGAAATGGGACTGAATAAAAACAAAGCTATTATATGTTGGAAATACAATTAAAGCAATATAGAGAGGGTAGTTTATAGCCTTAAATACATATTTTAGAAAAGAGAACTGAAATATCAATGGATTAAGCATTTGAATTAAGAAATTAAACCTAGCCTAGCTGGATTGGTTCAGTAGATAGAGCGTCAGTCTGGGGACTGAAGAGTCCCAGGTTCAATTCCAGTCAAGGGCCCATACCTATGTTGCAGGCTCGATCCTCAGTAGGGAATGTGCAGGAGACAGCCAATCAATGATTCTCATCATTGATGTTTCTCTCTTTCCCTTCCTCTCTGAAATTAATTTTTTTTTTAAAGGAAATTAGCCCTAGCCGGTTTGACTCAGTAGATAGAGCATCAGCCTTGGACTGAAGAGTCCTGGATTTCATTTTCTTGTAAAGGACATGTACCTTGGTTGCAGGCTTGATCCCCGGTCCTCGTTAAGGCATGTGTAGTAACCAATCAGTGTGTGTTTCTCACATCGATGCTTCTCTGTCTCTCCCCCTCCCTTTCACTCTCTTGCTCTAAAAAAAAATCATCAATGAAAATTGGACTAGACATTCTCTAAGTTTCTTTCTAGCCTGAGCATTCTGTGGATCTCATATTTATGGACTTAAGCTTTCCCAAGTAACTTTGCATATGCTAATTTGTTATGCACAAATTTGTGAAGTAAAATAGTGAATTCATATTATTCTCATTTAATTCCTTCATGTAAGAATAACTGGGAGGAGTAGTGTTCTCATCTCATATCCAGATCTGAATGGAAGTAATTCCAGTATCTGCTTTTTTGAATGCACAGAGAAAATTAAAACTTAGACTCTGGTGCCAAACTAAATTATTTTAAAATCTGGCTCCTCCACTTATTAGCTTCATCATCTTTGTAAGTTATTTATCCTTTCTGTGCCTAGATTTTTCTGTCTGTAAAATGGGAATTATAAATAGTTACCTCCTAGAGTTGTTTTGAGGATCAAGATGAAAGTATGTAAAGAACTTTAAACAATTAAAACCATAAATAAACACTTTATAAGTGTTATTCATATTAATAGGATAGCTTCAATTATGAGAGGAACAAATGACTCATGGTGCTTTCAGAGAAAAAGATGAGAGGCCAAGTTATCTTTAAGATTTTTACAATAAAAAGGGATGTATGTCTTATATAAGTGCTTTTTCCTACCACCTTTCATTTTCCTGCTTCACCTTTGAATTCACAGTTTCCTAATTGAGACAATATGGTTTCCTCTGCTTCAAGTAGAAAAGTTTTTGGTAATGGACTTTCCCATCATCATGTTTTGGCATATCATTGTCACCAGCTGCTCTTTTTTTTAGGCTGGACGGCAACTGGAAGCTGAGCAAGCCTACAAGTACACGATGAAGGTATGATATGCAGATGCCTCTGCTGTTTGTCTGCTCTGTACTGAGGTTAGAAACTGAGAGGAAGGTACTAGTTAATTCAGAACTTCATAGCATTTTATGATGTGAACATTTTTTCTAGAAGCTTTTCTTACCATCCTTCCCACTATCATAGGGCTCCTGGGTTTGAGGAATAACCCACATATTAATATAGGGGATCTTATTATTATTATTTTTTTTGTAGTAAAGCAAGCAAGAATATATGGATTGGAGCAAAAACACAGAATAGTGAAACAAAGGGCATAAAAGAAGCAACCACGGAGCCAAGGGTGGACTGCCTTGGCTCCCTGGGAAGGCAGAGAAAAGGGGCCTTGGGGTTAGCCCAGGACAAGCTGCTGCTGCTCATTGGCCCCTGGTTGCAAGTCTCCCGTGGTCCCTTAAAGTTTAGGAGACACATGCCTATGGGGGAAGGAGAGAAGGGAGGGGGTGCCATGGGCATGCTCCCTGGAAGAGAGTGCCCCATGGGGGATCTTTTTTTTTTTTTTTTAATTTTTTTAGAGAATATGCGTTAATGGAAAGACAGATGGCCAGAGAGTCAGCAGACCTGAATTATGGTCTTAGTTTTGCCTTTACCATACTGTGTCAACCTCTCTGGGCCTCATTTCCTCAATTATAAAATGAAGGTAGGGGGTCAACAAATTTTCCCTGTAAATGGCAAAATAGGACATATTATAGGCTTTGTGGGCCAAACACTTTCTATTGAACTACTACACTCTGACTTGTAGTGAAAAAGCAGCCATAGACAATTCATAAACAAATGAACATGGGTGTGTTTCAAATAAAACTTGTAAAATTTTATTGATTTCAGAGAGGGAGAGGGAGAAAGAGATAGAAACATCAATTATGAGAATCACTGACCAGCTGCCTCTTGCACGCCCCCTACTGGGGATCAAGCCCACAACCTAGGCATGTGCCCTTGACTGGAATCAAACCTGGTACCCTTCAGTCTGCAGGCTGATGCTCTCTCCACTGAGCCAAACCAGCTAAGGCTCAAATAAAACTTTATAACAGTGCTAGATTTGGCTCAGTTATGAATTATAAGCCACTTGAAAGTCAGTGGCTTAAACAAATTAGGAGTTTTATTGTTCTCATCTAATGTAGAGTTCAGAACTGGTACCACAGCTCCACTGGTACCATCAGAGACCCACCCTCTTTCTACCTTTCTGCTCCAGCAACCATAGCAGACAGTTTCTGTCCCTCAGAGGTGAAAGACAGCACTGTAGCTCTAGCCACTATATCCATGTTTCGGGCACAATAAAAACCAAATGGCGGGAAAGGACAAACATGTCATGCTAGTTATCTCACCTCCCCTTAATGAGCAATGATTTCAATTTTCATTTCATTGGCCACATTGGTCATAAACACTTCCCTTGCAAGGGAAGCAGGAAAATGCAGCTTTTTAGCTGGCAGCATTGCTACCCTGAAAAGTAATGAAGAGTTTTTTAGAGATAGAGGGGGGCAACTAGATGTCTCTACTACACATCTAGATTCTAAAATTAATTCAGATCTATGTCTTTGATTCCTGTCACTTGCCAAATAGGAATAGTATATATTAGTCAAGGTATACGGGCGATGTGGACCTTTTCAAAATAAACTTTATTAAAGTTCTTTTACAAAGAATGCAAATTGTGACTATTCATACCACTTGAATGTTCATAGAGTGAAAATATCCATGTAACCAGTACAATGTTCTGAAGTCTTTTCATGGAATTACCATGAAATAGGGAATGTAGCCAAATTCCATCCCAAGGAACTGTGTTCTTTAGCTATGGCCCTAGAAATTAGGGGTCCCCAATTAAGATATACCAGATCTGACATGTGTCCCCTTCCTTCCTCTATTGCAGCTAAAGTTGAAAGATGAGGCTCTGATTGCAGAGATCCACATGCTCCAGGAAACCGTTGGCTTTGGAAATCCATCTTTCTGACATCTGTCCAGCTAAAGAACTTTCTGTATGGGACCGTGAGCTTTTTTCCTTCCCAGAGAAATTAAATCTGGATGCTTCACTATATGAGACGTGGGAATAAAGATAAGAGAATCTTTGCCACAAACAGAAACCCATTCATTTATTTCCACTGCTATCTTACTAGGTTATCAATGTTACTGGTGAGTCTTACTTGTTGACAGTAAACTGGATGGCAATAAAAAAAATGAAAACAAAAGATTCAAAATTCATGAGTGTGATTTTGGATTTAAAGTATATATAAGAATATAATTTTTAAAAGAATATAATTATATGTAATTAAGGTACAATGGGTGCATTATGAGGATAGGGTTTCTGATGAAAGCTAATCAGGATAACTCTTGTAGGAAGTCAACTGCTAAGGTCCCTGGCCAGGTTCACATTATGGAACTTGGGAATTAAGGCATCAGTTTGTAAGGAAGCTATTCGGGGTCGCTGTATTAGGGCAAAGAGATTATTAGTTGTGACCAGGACCTTTGGACCCAACGGTGAACAGAGACTCTAAATAGGGGGGTCTTTGCTGCAGGTAGAGGTACTAACTCCCTCCAACCTCCGGTATCTTCATGGACCTAAAGCACCAGGGCTCCGTGAAGAGTCCGCTGCCTTCTCATAGATGCAAAACTCACACATGTAATTACTCTAAGGAACCACACTTCACCCCTGTTCTGGATCACTCCCCGCACAGCAAAACCAGGAAAAAGGCCCCCCCTCCTTTATTGTTTGGAGAAGGTTTGGCGAATAGGAGGGAAGGCGAGAGGCATACTAGTGAACACAGAAGGGTAAACTCTACATTCACTAATGGTCCGTTTCTGGCCCGGTGTCACCTCGCCGTCCCCCCACCAGGCTGTGACTTTCTTCTTGGCGTTTTCGGGGCTGCGCCTGGGCCCCATAGGCGCTCACAAACGCTGGCAGGGAGGGAGGACCCCTGGGAGGGAGGGCCGGGCGCTGCCGCGCTTCCCTCGGCCGCTCCGAGCCCGCCCGCTCCTCGCTCAGCCGAGGACGCAGCCTGCGCAGCCAGGGACGCCCGCAGCTGAGGGCGCGCTGACGCCCGCAGCATCCCGGCGAGGACGTGAGTCCACCGCGCTGCCTTCTGGGAAACGTGGGAGCGGAAGGGGCGGGGCGAGCGGGCCATTCACTTCCGCCCCGCCACTGGCGGCCGAGCGGGTCTTGGCGGCGGCGGGGCGCTGGGCCTCGGCGTGCGGGCTGCGCCATGGTCCAGCTCAGTGAGTGCGGCCCGGGGCCTGCGGCGGCGCGGGCGCGGGGGCGTGCGGGACCCGGGGCCGCGGCGCCGTCCTGGGCGAGCCGGAGGCCGTCCGGCCCGGAAAGAGCCTCACGGCCTGATGTTGGGTTCCCCTCTCCCCGCCCATTTCCCTCAGTTTACCCCCTGGAACCCTGGGGCAGAAATAGCATTTTATAGCGGAGGCAGCTGTGCAGGCCTGTGCCGAGCGGGTTGGGGGTCGAGGAGGAGGTGGATTCTGCCAGAGAATTTCTCTGCATGAGGAAGGCTTCACAAAGATGTTTTCTAAGCGAGGTTGCCACGCATTGGGTAGAAGTGAGGATTTTCACTGGAGGAAGAGGATTGCTTCGTGTCCCTAACTTTTACCGTTTTGTGCCTTCACCGCTTACTTCTCTCCAGCTCCGCTCCTCCTCAAGACCTACCATGGAGGCCACCTGACCATCCGCCTTGCCCTGGGGGGCTGCACCAACCGGCCTTTCTACCGCATCGTGGCCGCGCACAACAAGTTCCCCCGGGACGGCCGCTTCGTGGAGCAGCTGGGCTCCTACGACCCGCTGCCCAACACCCACGGGGAGAAGCTCGTGGCTCTCAACCTGGAGCGCATCCGCCATTGGATCGGCTGCGGGGCCCACCTCTCCAAACCCGTGGAAAAGCTTCTGGGTAACTTGGCGCTCGCCTAACCGAGAGATTTTAACTTGAAGACGGTTACAGGAGGATGAGAATTAGTGATTTTCATGACCTTTGGGCTGCTCAGGACTTGAGTGACTTCTATGGACTCCTTTATGAGATCGAGGTTTTATTCTAAAAATGGGAACTGTGTGTCTGGAAAGGCTGTCAGTTTACTTTTTTTTTTTTTTTTTAATGTATTTTATTGATTTTTTACAGAGAGGAAGAGAGAATGATAGAGAGTTAGAAACACCGATGAGAGAAAAACCTGGATCAGCTGCTTCCTGCACACCCCCCGCTACCGGGGGTGTGCCCACAACCATTGTACATGCCCTTGACCAGAATCGAACCCGGGACCCTTAAGTCCTCAGGCTGACGCTCTATCCACTGAGCCAAACCGGTTTCTGCTCTGTTAGTTTATCTTGTTTAGGTAAAGAAAATAGTGTTAGGAAGTAGGTAACATCTATTGTCTCCTTGCAGTAAGGAGTAGGTGGAAGAGGGAAGAGGGAAGAGGGATTGCTCCAGGTCAGGTCTCTGTTAGACGGAAATTCTGTGAGGCTGCATTCCCGGGGAAACGTTTGCTTGCAGTGTGTTGTAATGAATGAAAATCCTGTTGTTTTTAGGACTTGCTGGCTTTTTCCCTCTACATCCCATGTTGATCACAAACGCTGAGAGGCTTCGACGGAAACGGGCACGTGAAATCCTCTTAGCATCTCAGAAAACAGCGACAGAGGCTACAGAAACAGAAGCAAGCTGACTTCGGTGAGCAGAGCAGCAAGAACAAGGTCACAGTCCTTGTAAAACACTTGTGCAGAGTTCCTTTATTAGATGTAGAGGTCAATAAATGGAGTTTTCCATGTCGTCCATGTTCTGGCCTGGCCTGAGAGGTTTGTCTTGTGTGGCACAGGGCTACTAATTCACTCTCAGCCTTCGTCTGGGGAAACACAGTGGCTGTGGAGTGGGTTGGGCTTTTGGGCTTTTGGGTTGGACAGCTTTACAGTCTGCTGCCCTCAGAAACTTCCCTGTCTCAAAGTCCCCATCCAGCATGCCCATGGCCCGGTTTACTATTGGCAGAGCTAACATGTTGATTGCAGTCTGCCTACTTGGGGAGCCCTTCCCAGTACATATTGTTTGTAGTGGGATGGGGTGGGGGAATAAGCAAGGATAAAGGGCTTTTCAAGTGTCTACTTAAAAAGTCAGTGATTGAATCAGGTTTAGAGATCATGTGCCAAAACCCCCACAAAATAACACTTTATCTGCTCCACCCTAACTACCTCAGGATTCTACAACCACAAGCATAGATTAGATAGATGGTTTTAGTGTACATGCTAGATCATGAAGATTTCAAATTCTGGCACACGGCTAGGATGTAAGATTTAGAGAGGAGATTCTTAAGTCCTAAGAATATACCAACTAATTTTATCCTCTGGATTTTATGTTCTGAGAACAACTAACAGCCACCTCAAATTGTGGGGTCATTAGTCTCCCCAGGATTGTTACTGGTTGGCCTCCACTTGCTTTGATACATGGAAGGCAGGTCAAACAGAGGAATTGACTGTCCCTGGGTTTGATCTTGGACGTGGGAAAGAGAAATGATTTGAAAATGATAGGAACTCCGGAAGTTTAAAACATATCCTAGAGAGTTTGATGGGAGAAGCTTTGATAGTGCAGAAGAGAATGTGATTTTGTAGCCGAAGGAACCACTGAGCTAAAGCCAGCCCGAGAATGTGATTTTGAAAAGTATTGATCAGTGAGGAGAACTACTGTGAAATGGGTTAAGGTTAGGTATTTATTTTTAGCTACTGAGTTTCTGTCACTTCATGTGTCCACTTGGTGCCCTTTTCTGTCCTTTGTCTAAGATCCATACACACATTTCCTGTGTGAGTTTCCGCTCCCTGGTTTCCAGTTTTCCATAGCCCCAGCCTTGCTTTGGATCTCCAGGCCTCTATTCTTAACATGTCCTAGATGATTGCATCAGCCTATCTTGCTACCATCTTCAAATCTAAAATACTCAAAATTCTAAAATACTCTGCACTTTAGAAAGCATTAAAAAAAACAAAACAAAAAAACACCTTTGCTTCAGCAGCTTGTATTTTTAAAAAAATATATTTTATTGATTTTTTTACAGAAAGTAAGGGAGGATAGTTAGAAACATTGATGAGAGAGAAGCATCAATCAACTGCCTCCTGCACACCTCCCACTGGGGATGTGCTTGCAACCAACTTACATGCCCCGACCGGAACTGAACCCAGGACCCTTCAGTCTACAGGCCAATGCTCTGTCCACTGAGCCAAACCAGTTTCGGCCAGCAGCTTGTATTTTTATTATGAGGGTTTGGGTCATGTGGAAGGAGCTGGAGGGTTAGTGGGAATGATTCTATAAGTCCTGTCAGATAAAGAATTTTTTAAAGAGGTCTTTTGTTTAATGTAGACTTTTTTCTTGCAGGGCTTTAGGGAAGTAGCTACCCTATAGGCTGCACAATTATTTGGACCTTAGAGCTCTATGTATTGTCAGTATCGTCTGAAAAAAATTATTGTTCTTTGAAAAAAATACATATATATGAACCACGTGAAGTTGCCAAATGCCGATGCTGTGCCTTTTTTTTTGCTAAAAACAAACAAAACAGCGTATAGGTTCAACCTAATATACACTTTCACGTATAGAAAAAGATTCCGCGATGGGACATGAGAAGCTAAGTGCCAGGTTCCTAGAGTAAGGGGAGGGGCTTCACGCAGGAGGGGGCGTGGCGGCTGGCGGGCTACTTCCGCTTACGCCCGCTCCATCACGCCCCAAGGCACGTGGACGCCAGGCTTTCCACGCCCCATTTTACCGCCGCCGTAAAGCGCGGCGGCGTGGTCACGCCCCTTCCCGCGGCTCTTGTGACGCAGGCGCCCTGGGCTTTTTTGCGCGGGAACAGGCGGCGATTCGGAACCAGCCGGTGCTGCTGGGCCCCGCTGTGCTCGCGGAGTCCGCCGCCGGCCCGCGCCTCTGCTGCCATGGGGCTGCTGGAGCAGTGCGAGCAGGTGTTCGGGACCGCCGACCTCTACCGGGTGCTGGGCGTGCGGCGCGAGGCCTCGGACGGCGAGGTCCGGCGCGGCTACCACAAGGTGTCCCTGCAGGTGCACCCGGACCGGGTGGGCGAGGACGACAAGGAGGGAGCCACCCGCCGCTTCCAGGTGCGCGAGTCCCTGCCCCCCGGGCCCCCTTCGGGCCAGCGGCCGGCTGGCCCTTCCGCAAATGCCCGCCCGGCCTGGCGTTTTCCCAGCCCTTCCCGCCCGCAGCCGTGAGCGGGCGCGGTGACTCGAATGCTCTCCCCGCAGATCCTCGGGAAAGTCTACTCCGTGCTGAGCGACCAGGAGCAGAGAGCGGTGTACGACGAGCAGGGGACCGTGGACGAGGACTCGGATGTGCTCAGCCAAGACCGGGACTGGGAGACCTATTGGCGGTTACTCTTTAAGAAGGTAGAAGCCTCTGGAGATTTATTTACCCAACAAATGTTTACTGAATGACCTGAGGCACGGAATTTTGTGTGTGAAGGAAGGGTACTTTGGTCTTGAAATACACACACACACAGGCATTCCCCAGGAAATGTATACCGTGCGTCTTTAATGAAGAACGAATGTATTTAAGCGCTGGGATGAACCGTGGGTACTTTTCTATGTACACATGCACTCTTTCTGACAATGGCCTTCAATTACCTGTTGATGTAGAGTGCTTGTAGTGAAAAGGGGGGTAATTTTACAAGATGTGCCTCATTTTACATATCCCAATGTAAGTCCTGGGTGTTTCTCTGGATCCCTTCCCACCATTGGAAACTTCACTGAAAAGGTCCCGGTCCATAATTTAGTAGCTGTGAAGGTTGGAGTAGGGAGAATTCTGGAGAAGCTTCCGCAGAGAAAAGTTTTGGTTCCTTGCAATAATTTCAACCCAAGCAACTGTTGTATTTTGGGAGAATCATTTCAACACTTAAATTTAGCTTTCCTAGGATATCTTTTAAAATAATGTTCTCAAAGTTAATAAAGCATATGTTTCTTATTTGTTTAGATATCTCTAGAAGACATTCAGGCTTTTGAAAAGACGTACAAAGGTTCTGAAGAAGAGCTGGCTGATATTAAACAGGCCTATCTGGACTTCAAAGGGGACATGGGTCAGATCATGGAGTCTGTGCTGTGCGTGGAGTACACAGAGGAGCCCAGGATACGGAACATCATTCAGCAAGCCATCGATGCCGGCGAAGTCCCATCCTACAAGGCCTTTGTCAAAGAATCGAAGCAGAAGATGAATGCTAGGAAAAGGAGGGTAAGACTTGGAAAGCAATTTGTTATTTATATCTTGATTGCTTCCAAAAAGAATTTGAGGGTATTTACAGTAATTGGAATTTAGACAAAACTGTGAAATAAGGATAAGGACTAACTTGCTGTGTAGTTCTCATATAACAAAATGAGCATATCAGTTCATCAGGAAAAATTTATTTTCCCTGGTATGTTGTGCTCCAGAGGATTTTACTACCCATTATTTACGTAATATCATCTTGAAATTCGTCATATGGGCCAATTCTTGCACCTCTGCTGAGGCATTTCTTGGTAGTAGGGTTCAGATACATAAGCTACACAGTGGTTCTCAGTTAAGGGGTGAGGGAGAGGGCAACAGAGACTCTTAAAAAGAAAATACTGTGTCTCCTTAATACAAATTCCTTTTCTCTTGCCCAGATTGACTTGTGACTTGGGACCTAAATATACATTTGAAAAAAACACTACTTAGTGTACTTTTTAAATTCCAAATTTACTTTGAGGGGCACTTTTTGGAGAATCGGGGATAGAGTTGGTGGAGGTAGGGAGGATGAGAGGAGAAAGGAACTCGAGGACAGCTGGGGTTCTGGGAGGGTGTGCCGTAAATTCAAAGTTGCAAACATCCGTGCCTCTGGTCTGGTACCTAAGTAACCATTGCTTCAACTTGGCTTTCATAATGGGAAGAATATACTGCCCCTATTTTGTATGGCTGAATTGGGGGTGATCGTAGGTCTGCAGCTTTTAGACACAAGATGACATGCTGAAGTATGTTGAGAAGTGGAATGTATCAAGAGCTATCCTTTTGACTCATAGGGTACCTTTGTTTAGACTCAAGCAGGTTAAGTTGGTTATTTTCTCAGGTGAAACTTAGCACAGCAGTATCTAGTAGTAGGATATTAGCTTGAGAAACTTCTCTAGAGTATTGTGAGGAAGGGTTGGCAGTTTTGAGAGTGATTCCAGCAAACTTGGAAAGGGGGATACAATATCAAAAGAAATCGGATAAAAAGACTGAAAGTAGATAGTGGAAACTGTCTCTTTATTGGAATAACAAGGACCTAATGTATCATCATTCCCACTATTAATAGTATTTATTATTATTTAAAAAATTCACTGGGGTTGGGACCTCTTAATAGTTTTAGCTGTTGCCCTAAAAGGAAAAACAACTTATTAACCTTTACCAAGGTATTCTAGTGGCATTTTGGAATCAGTGCCCTAGTAAATTTTGGCCAAAAAAAGGTGGCTTTGAAATCAGGTAAAGAAAAGTTAAGACTAAATTTGTTAGCGTTTATTCTGACTACTTGGGAAATTTTAAACTAGGGTTGCTTTCAAAGCTGCCGCCAGCCACATGTAGTAAATTGGGTTTCCAGAGGAAGGATCTGAGGTGCCTTTATCCTGGCAATATTTTTGAGGACATCGTTGGTTAAGCTCTCCATGCATTTTGTTTTCCTTCCTATCACCACATGGTTATTAATACCAAACTACTTGCTACTCCTAACAAATAAAAATGGGGAATACTCAGAAATGCTTACTGGAATCAGAGGATATACTGCTTGCTCCCAGCAATTTTGCCTTTTAATAAATGCCACATATATGCAATTTTATTCTAAATAATCCTCAAATTGAAAGGATCTCACAAATTTGCTTTTGGCAAAGAGGGTGTATTTTTAGGATGCCATGGAGTCACATGTGAATATCTGTTTTAGGCCCAGGAAGAGGCTAAAGAAGCAGAAATGAGCAGGAAGGAGTTAGGACTTGATGAAGAAGCGAATTTGAAAGCACTCATTCAGGTAAACTTGGCAGGCTGTCTGTGAAGATTGCCGCCGTTTCTTTATGTTCTTATATTGATTCCTACAGCTATTTTGGAGTACATGGATAGTGTTGTGTGTGTTTTCTTTTAAGTCATAGTTTATATGTCATATTCACCTTTTTAATTCAGTGGTTTTTAGTATATTCACAAGTTGTACAACTATCAGCACTGTCTAATTCCAGAATATTTCTTCACCCTAAAAAGAAACTCTGCCCATTAGCAGTCACTCCTTCCTCTTCCTTCCCACCACTAAGTACTTTTGTCTCTTTCGATAGTCTTGTGTTTTGAAAGCTTGTGTTTTAACTCTCAAACAGAACAGACAAAAGGATCGGCAAAAGGAAATGGACAATTTTCTGGCTCAGATGGAAGCAAAGTACTGCAAATCTTCCAAAGGAGGAGGGAAAAAAACAGCTCTCAAGAAAGAAAAGAAATAATGGAATTGTCAAAGGTCATTAGAGGTTAATTAATTAGTGCCACTGTAGGAAAAGTAAAGTCAAGATTTGAAGACAAAAGTCAATTCAACACGTGAGAAAAATTATTTCCCACCTAAACTGTTCAGACTGAGTGTGTAAACCAGAGTCTCTCAACCTGATCTTATGTCCTAGAAATCCCCGGACATTCTGTGAAGTCCAGTCCTCCTATGAAGAAATTTGGTGATGGTCATTGAGGAAAGGCGGGGGGGTTGGTACACTTGTGACAGCACTTGCTTCTGTGGATCTTTTGTACCAGGAACCTGACCTAGAATGTGGATCTCTTCATACTCCCTTTACCAGCTGTCATTTTGCCACAAAAGTGAGCTGCAGAGTATTCAGAGAGACGTGTGTTTATTAGAACAAGTACGCTACCTGGCTAGAATGCTTTCAGAATACTTGCTGGACATTGTCTTCCAAAACCTTGACAGTTTGCTTTCGTCTTAAAACTCTTGAATAGATCCTCTCTTTGTTTTTTTGGTTTATTTTTTTTTTTTACTCTAACAGGTTTTGTACTCTTTGTTTCTGGTATAGGAGAAACAGATGTTCACATTACTTCAAGCATCTTTATAAGACTTAGTACATGATTAAACAAGTAAAAAATGACTTAAATTTTTAATGATCACTGGGATATTACTGCTGGACGTCCTTGGGTAGGTCACTAAGCTTGTCTGAACTTGTTTCCTCATCTATGACAGGGTGAGGGAGTTCAGGTAAATGACTTCTTAAAGGCTTCCCTGACTTAGCGCTATGAAAGCATGCTATCAGGGGTTTGTTTCCATGCACTTGTGGTATTGATTTGTGAGAATAGTACAGAGATTTTCACATATTTAGTCAAGTTGTATGTATTCATTAGAAGATGTGGAAGTTTTTAAGGGACTGTTCAACTCAAAATCTCTGATTTTAGACTAATATATTCAATGCCATATGCCTGAAACAAGCCTGGTACCTTTATGTATCATGATTTATCAGCGATATAAGCATATGTTTTCAATTTGTGATTATAAACAAGGTTAAAAAATACTCTTTAATTGTATTAAAATATAATTTAATGCAGATTGTTTGAAGCATCTTTCTTACAATAGCATAAAAACACTTTGATATAAAAAAAAAATTACCCCAATTTATGATCACTTGAATTTATCCCTCTGAAGATTAACTATAAGATAAAAAACTGGTATGATCATCAAAACTAAAGTTCAGTGAAATTTAAAGACTATAAATTTAAGCCATAGTGAAAACCATTGCTGCATTCATGAGTTCACTCAGGGAAAGGGCTGTGGTAAAATGAGAAGAATGCCGAAGTTCTCGACTTCTGCTCTTAGGATATGTTGATACTGGAATAATCACGTGTCTGAAATTTTAGGGAATTGTGTCTTGCTGGCTCACTAACAGAAATATTCTATACACTTTTTAAATTGACTTTTTGAGCTACAGGAGAAATTCTGGCAAGTTGAGTTTTAATATTTGGAAAAACATGTGACCACTAAATTACTTGAAGAAGCATAGCCTGATATTAAGCAGGCATCGCGAGGTTGAGCTGTTCTATCTGAAAAAAGTAATACACATTACGATGCTACTTTACACTAGCGTTCAACATTTTTGTTTTTAATTAACCCATATCTTTCTGCTTATAGGATTGGACATGTAAAGAGAAAGCTTTAGGAATGACATCTGTTTGATGAGTAGCTCAAATTTTTGTCAGTCCTGTCTTCTAAAAATGATTCAAAACTGAGTACAATTCTCCAGAAATTAGTATAAGAAGTATTCCAGTGCCAGTGACAGCTTAATGTTATCAATCATTTGCTGTTTTCTGTGTATGTGTAATTGCAGAGAATTCTATAATAATTGAACTGTTCGTTGTTAACAGACAACATCAGCAGCAAGTAGTTATTCTTTTTGGGTACAAAACCTTACTGTCTAATGGAATAGTTTAACTTAATATTGAAAGAAGACAGTAACGGGATAGAAATAGTACTCATATAATCTTTGGCAGATACTATGTTTTCTCAGTCAGTTTTACCATAATAACTCTTCATGAAGATAGCTTCAAGTTGTCTCTTGTAAACAAACTGCATCACACGGTGAGTGTACAGTGATTGTGAAGTCTTCCCACGTATTCCCTGTTGCCTGAAAGAGGTTCTCATTTGCTCTAAGGTCCCTGCCTGGTTTTAGAGATTGGTCCACTTCTGTTTTGAGTTTTTGTAGACCCGTGTGATTGAGAACCTGTCAAACAAAGAGAACATATAGAGTAACATTAGTACATTCTAGATTTGGTAAGCTCAAGTTCATACCTAAGGGCTTTGTTGCTCCAATAATCAGCTGGGATTTAAATTGAAGACTGGGAATTTAATAAAAAAATAAAATTAAAAAATAAATAAATAAATTGAAGACTTGGAACAAGTAGTATAGTATATACTTGCCAAGGCAATAAAAACCTTGCATATTTTATGGAAAAACAAAAATCTATACTAAGATACAACAGCAGTAACAGTTTTAGAGAGGAGTCCACTATCTGAAAAAGACTAAAATGTGTTTCACTTATGAGTAAATGTTATACTAGTTACACCTGACCATCAGCATGGCTGAGTGTAATAACTTAGCTCAAAGGCAGGATTGCTTCTCTTTGATGACTGATCCAATAAAACAATCCATTGAAAGTATTCAGAGACTACCTCACTGCCACTGGAAACTGAACTAGGAGAATTCCCTTGGACCTCAGAGATGGTTGGAGGCAGACTATTTTTTAATATACTAGCTGATTAATCTTTACAGCAAACAAATCAACTACCCCATTTCTAAGTTTCACCTACAACATAATGAGAATGACCTGGTGGTGGTAAGAAGACTATTTTAGGAAGAATTAAGACATTCTTAAATTTTCTTCCACCACTTATACAAAAATAGAAGCTATAGAATATAACTTAGAAACCACAAAGTAAATGAGACTCAGACTCAGCAGCATATCTTGACATTTTAGAATTTCTTTTGTCTTACCTTGCTTAGCAGGTTAACTGACCAAAGCAGTTTATAGCAATATGGATTTTGCCTATATAATAATGCAGTGTTTATGTTATGAGAGTGATTTATTTGGCTGAATTATTTTCAGATTAAAAAGAAAAGTTCTGTACACTTTGCCAGAGCGGTGAGAGGTTAATTTACATGAGAAAACGGAAATCCAGAACTTTTTGGCTCTGAACAATAGCGCTCTTCTCTTTTTATTATATCCCATCTTGCAAAATGATTTTGAGGTGACTTAGAAAATGCAGGAAAACAAAATATAATAAAAGCTGGGGGAAAGGAAAAGGAGCATAGGAAAATACATATGAGACAAAGGCAGGGTCCTAATAGAGCTGCATAGTAGTAAAATACGCCCCACCTGTCCCTCCATATCCCCTGCCGGGTCGGGCCTGATGAGGATACTCAACAGCACGTGAATGACGATACTGCGTGTCTGGCTGGAAAAAAAAAAAAAAAAAAAAAGTGGAGATACTTATTTCAATGCTATGTCTCCCAAAGGACAATATGTTAGTAGATTTACAAGGGAAAACCTTGAAATTGGACAATTTAAATGGCATTATCTGCTAATCCTATAAACAGGTTGGCTGAGTGCATTCTGTTATATTTCAAGGAAAAAAATCACAAGCCAGAAGCCCATAAAGCCATTTGTTAACTTGTAAAAAAGGCAAACTTGACAATTTTATTAATAAGTCTTTTTTAAAATCTTAGCATTGAGATATAATCCGTATGGTTTAATGTTTCTAAGTATAATTGGCTGCCCAGGGAATTTCATCCAATCTCGATTGCCTGCTGACTGTTTAAGACAACAGAACAGAGCCTTTTCAGTAGCATTGAAATCTCCATGACATGTGTACTTGAAATAGGACTTCCAATATGAGTTTCACACATTACCAAGTTACCACAAGGGATTTAAAGATTTTAAGATCTGACTAAAATATAATGCAAAATATCAAAAACAGCTACCCATGCCATCTCGCTGGCACTTCTGGGATAAAAAGCAAACAAACAAACGCCCTCTGTTCCATGTCAGAGTGCTACAATCAACATTTCTGGAATTTTTTTCTGGTGAAACCCCATGTTCTTGATCAGGTGTCAGTGCAAACTTTGTATTTGTAGAGGGCTAGATTGTAAATGTTCTAGACTAGTGGTCGGCAAACTCAGTCCACAGAGCCAAATAGCAACAGTACGATTGAAATTTCTTTTGAGCACCAAAATTTTTAAACTTCTTTTAACGCCACTTCTTCAAAATAGACTTGCCCAGGCCGTGGTATTTTGTGGAAGAGCCACACTCAAGGGGCCAAAGAGCCGCCTGTGGCTTGCCAGCCACAGTTTGCTGACCACAGTCTAGACTGAGGCACACACTGCCGCTGTCGGACCTGCTCTGCGTTTGTAATGGGAAAGCAGCCAGAGGCAGCTCATGAATGAGCAAGGTGGCTCTGCCCTAATGAAACTTAACAAAAGCAGGTAGTAAGTCAGATGGCTCATGAACTAGCTTATGGACTCCCATTCTAGGTGAGAACAGAGTGCTGGTCTGGCAGTGCCTGGCCAGGACTCTGCTCTAGTGTTCTCAGTTATAATACATTGAGCTACCAGTTCATATCCCTTTTCATGAGAGCAAACTGGGAGAGAAATGGCTCCAGAAAGACATTTTTACTTTTGTTGTTATGATAAACTATGAAAATGAAGAAACTGATTTTTTTTCAGGTGTTCAGCTTTACTCCTAAGGTAACCAAAATTAAATATTTGACATGACTCCAGCTATAGAATATAAAACACTGCTTAACAAATGATCTGGATCAAATTATGTATTCTCATAATGAGAATACAAATTGTAATAAAGGTTCTCAAACTTCTTAGGATTCACATCTAGTAAGAATTAGAAATGCTTACACTTCCCTTTTGCCATGTTTTATATGAATCTCACCCAAATCAAACCTTCTGAGGTCTGTTGGGGTGAAGTGTTCCCCCCAAGTTTATATCCACCTGGGACTTGTGAATGTGGCTTTATTTGGAAATAGTATCTATATAATCAAGTTGAGTTCATACTGGATTAGGGTCATACTGAATTTCAGGCCTAACTTCGGTGACTGGTATCTCCATAAGAGGGAAATTTGGAAGAAGGCTGCGTGAAGACAGCAGAAATTGGAGTGAAGCATCTGCAGGCCAAGGAGTGTCAAGGATTACTGGCAGCCATCAGAAGCCAGAAAAGATTCTTCCCTAAAGTCTGCAGAGGGAATGTGGCTCTGCCGACACCTTAATGTAGACTTTTAGGCTCTGGAACAAAATAAATTTCTATTGTCTTAAGCCACCCAGTTTGTCATAATTTGTTAGGACAGCCCTAGGAAACTAATACAGTGTCTGCCCATTCATTCATTCTCATTCTGGTGGAGGAAAGATTGTATGGTGTTTAGGCTCTAACAGTTTTTAGGGTTATGAGTTGGGGTAAGTGGGCTAAACACCATCCTGAAAACTGGTGTAGGTTGTGCAGCCCCGGGTTTCTGGGCAGTTAAGTGTGGCCCCCGGCACTTTCCCGGCTCAATAAGCGCTCTTGCCACAAAGCGGATGAGGATACAACTGAGCGAGGTAAGTGCATGGCAAATCTCCCAGCCAGTTTTTTCTCTATTGCTTAAAAGTAAAGGGCTAGGAAATGTACAAAGGAGTAAGGCAATGTTAGCATCTCAACTAAAAGCCCACCCACCAGTCCACATCATCTGATACCACTATTGGTATAATACCATGAGAGCAGCGTTAGAGAATGAAATGATGCTGATCTGATATGCACTGGGGTTTAACACTTTTTTTTTCCCTTCTAATTCTCAGAAATATTTGTTTAGAATTTGTAATGTATTACATGTTGCTGGTGACCCTATGAATGAGTGGTGTCCACAGTTTTCTGTCCTCAACACCCTGCTCAGCTCCTGTCCACTTATGTCTTTGGTTTCTGTTATGGAGTCAGTTCATCTCATATTTGGTTTTCCTCTATTCCAGCCACCTTTTATTTTTTCCAACATTGTTGTCTTTTCCAAAGAACCCTGCCTTCTTGTAATGTGCCTAAAGTAGGATAGCTTCACTTTGTCATTTTGGCCTAGAGTGATATTTCAGGCTTAATTTATATTTTACCTTATCATACAAGTTAAAAAAGTGAATTGCAAAGACCAGTTTAGAATTTCAACAAAATGTACTTACAACCTCAACTTTTAGCTTAGAGTTAATGAAACCACTATGCAATGTCTTAAGTTTGCCAAACTAGTTTTTTCCTCCCCCCAACAATCAAGACCAGAGAGGAAACATGTCACTACCAAGAACGACTGCGTTGTGTTGGGCCTGGAGAAAAAGTCAGGCAAAAGGAGCCTCTCCTGGGGCTGCTGATGTTTAGGCTTATTCACCACCGCACTTCGAGCTCGATTAGCATCACCATGGGCTTTCTGTGGAGGCGGCAAAATTACACAAACAATTAGAACAATTCATGGTGCATGTCCTATATCAGCCCTACCGGGTATGGTAACTGCAGGCCAAGGACCTCCAATTCCATTGTTATTAAATAGAATTCATCATTTACTTTTGATGAAATATAGTATAAATTAATATCAGAATACAGATCCTACCGAATGATTGCCCATGAGGAAGCACATGGGAAGGCAAGAGGAAAGAGACATACCGTTTGCCTTTGTGTCCCCACAGTGCTCATGTGTTCTTCAGCTGTGCCAATAGGTGGCAGCAGATTATTTCGACTCAGGGGCATTGGTGAGGGAGAAGAGAGGTAGCTGGCCACCACTGGGCTGCAGATCCCACCGGTGAGCACCAGGACGCGAAAGCATAAAGTTAGAACAATACAAGAAAACTGATGAGAATAAAAAATGAAACATGATGCACAGAAAGCTTTAAGCTGAGTTTTTAAGTAATAAGATCTCAATAAAAGGATTTTGTTTTTGTTTTGTTTTTTCATAGTATTTTATGATTTTTGTTGAAACTATCCTGGGCACAGAGCAGAAGTTGAACTGTTCTCTCACAGGAAACTAGAATACAATAGCTTTTCCTATCTGGTGTTGCAGTTCTCTATCAATAATGGATTTGTAATTTCACTGTTCTGGGCTTTCTCCACTGTTCTGGGCTTTCTGATTATCCTTTTAACTAATAACTATAATCCTCTGTAAAGGTCCTAAACTTTCATTTTCTTCCATGGGATTTGGAACAGTTTGCTATATTATTACTCACTAGAGGCCTGGTGCATGAAATTCATGCATGGGGCTGGGGGGCAGGGGGAGTGTCCTTCAGCCCAGCCTGTACCCTCTCCAATCTGGGGCCCCCTTGAGGAATGTCCAACTGCCCTCTCACAATCCAGGACCTGCTGGCTCCCAACTGCTTGCCTGCCTGCCTTCCTGATTGCCCCTAACCGCTTCTGCCTGCCAACCTGATCACCCCCTAATCAATGCCATGACAGCCTGACTGATGTTCAGCTGCTCCCCTGCCAGCCTGTTTGCCCCCAACTTCCCTCCTCTGCCAGCCTGGTTGATGTTTCTCTCTCATTGATGTTTCTCTCTCATTCCCTCCCTAACCGCCCTCCCCTGCAGGGTTGATTGCCTCCAACTGCCCTTCCTTGCAGGCCTGGTCCCTCTCAACTATCCTCCCTTGCAGGCCTGGTGCCTCCCAACTGCCCTCCCCTGCTGGCCATCTTGTGGTGGCCATCTTGTGTCCACATGGGGGCAGCTATTGTTTGTTGGAGTGATGGTCAATCTGCATATTACTCTTTTATTATTATAGATAAGATAGAGGCCTGGTGCATGGGAGGGGACCGTCTGGTTTGCCCTGAAGGGTGTCCTGGATCAGGATGGGGTTCCCTTGGGGCGTGGGGTGGCCTGAGCGAGGGGCCTGTGGTGGTTTACAGGCCAGTCACGACCCTGGCAACCCAGGCGGAAGCCCTGGTATCTGGAATTTATTTACCTTCTACAATTGAAACTTTGTAGCCTGGAGTAAAGCCAAGTCTCCTGCTTGTTCAGTGGCTGCCACCATTTCTGTTTGAATTTGTTTACCTTCAATAATTGAATTTTGTAGCCTTGAGTGGAGGCCTAGGCTGCAAGGCCAGGTGGAAAGCTTAGCTTCCTCCGTTGCCTGGGAAATCCAAACCTTCCTCCTGCTCTCTGTGGCTGTAGCCATCTTGGTTGGGTTTATTTGCATATTTGCTCTGATTGGCTGGTGGGTGTGGCTAGTGGGAGTGGCTTGTGGGTGTAGCGGAGTGGTAGTTAATTTGCATATTACTCTTTTATTATGTAGGATACCCAAGACAGTAATTGGAACTGAATGATACTTTATTGTCCCAGAAAAAAACAACTTCTTTTCCATTTTGAAAAAAAGAATTGCCAGAATGGATGAGAGATTAATTATATATCAATACCATCATTCCTAAATGAATCTATAGCTACTTTGGTATAGATATTGCCTCAGCAACATAATAAAATAGTGATTAGGTGAGGTGTAACCCTGGTGTTCTGATAAAGACTTTTGGTGGTTTTGGACATTTCTTTTAGTGAGTCTATTTAAGTAAATTATAATGAAAAATGGAAAAATCAAAATCAAGAAATAACATATTGGGAATAAATATAGTGGCATGTACTTAATTCAGAAACTGAATTCACAACAAGAATTATGGCCTTATTATTTCATACCTTTTATCATAGTCTTATAACTGTTCTAAGATGTTTTGTGAATTAACTAAAGAATTTTATTTTAAAAATCGGCTTATAGGTACTTTTTGTACAATGAAGCTCAGAGTGTCCACTGAATGGAGGGTGGGAAAAAGGGCAAGAATATGCAGTATTATTTCCTAAGAATTGCTAAAGGACATTTTCCTAGATTATAAGCTGTAAGCAACTACTTCTCTGAGGTTTATGCAGTTTTAATAAGCTTACCTTATTCTACAAGTTAAAAAAGTGAGTTATTGTCAATAGAATAAGAAGTACCCCATGGCACAGGAAAACATTAAAGAATAATTAACTATTATTTTGGGATGAATTTCACTGAACATGTTCCCACTAAGGAAAATGTTGAATAACATATACATACATCTATATTAATATATATCTTTTGTGTCACGAAATATTCTAGCCAACATTTTATATATAGAAATAGAAATATTTAGCTAAATCAACAGGCCCAGTATCTGTATTTAATTAATATTTAAGCTCAGTTTTAATTAAAAAAATATTTTATTGATTTCTTACAGAGAGGAAGGGAGAGAGAGAGAGTGTGTATGTTAGAAACATCAATGAGAGAGAAACATCAATCAGCTGCCTACTGCACACCTCCTACTGGGGATGTGCCCAAAACCAAGGTACATGCCCTTGACCGGAATCGAACCCTGGACTTTTCAGTCCGCAGACCGACGCTCTATCCACTGCGCCAAACCGGTCTCGGCTTAAGTTCATTTTTAAATCTGTAGTGGATAGATTTAAACCAGTATGCAATCATCATAAGAATGCATAATGATAGTTTCTATACATTATTTCAATATTACATTTAAATTCATTCTGTGTGTAAAATTCTTCATTAGCTTTACCAGTTTCCAGAAATTCCGCTTTGAAACCTACACTCGGGATCTTCTGAAGATCTCTTCCACGGGTCCTGGCGTTCCGGCGTGTGAGCGGCTTGTGCTGATGGGGTGAAGGGTACGTGGTGGGGGGTTGCGTCTCCTGGCGGACTGCACTGTATACGACAGAGATGATGTACAAAGCTCTAGGGCTCGATTTGACCAATTTCGGGTTGAAAAGACGGTACTGGACCCAGGCCTCATAAGTAGCTTGTCATCAAGATCTCTAGTGGCCAAATCAGAAACCCACAGTGAAATCAAGATTGCTCTGTTCCAGGAGATATGACTCAAAGGATAAAAAAAACAGACTAAAATACATTCAAGGGAGAAAAGTGCAAAAGTAAAACTTGTTCAATAAATCACCTAGTTTTCAGAAGTTATATAATGTAGCTCAGGTATAAGAATGCCCTGGTGGCTGTTGCTCAGTTGGGCATTGTCCTGTGCACTAAGAGATTGCTGGTTCTATTCCCCGTGAGGGCACATGCCCGAATTGCAGACTGGATCCCCGGTAGGAGGCAGCTGAGCAATGTTTTGCTCCACATGGATGTTTCCTCCTTCCTTCCTCTCTCTCTAAAAAGCAAAACATCTGACCTATGTCCTATCCTACTATAGCAAAAATAGTCCTTCAAAATATTTTATATTTTCCATCTCAAAATCTTTTCGCACATCATTTCCTCTTCCTAAAATAGCCTTACTGCTTTTCATTGCTTATCCAACTCCATTTTTATGGAAGAGTTCTAAATCTACACTTATCCACCAAAATGCCTTCCTTCTTTGGGGTTGCCCTCGCACTTACTCCGGGTACCTCACACTTGGCAATAGGTCATAAAAATGCCCTACCTGTGTGTGTCTTATCTCTCCGGTTATATTATCATTTCTCTGGGGGTGGAGACCTTTTCCCTTAGATGGTTTTATTCCCAACATGTCTGATTGCATGGTAGCTACTTAATACATACATGTTGATTGACTGATTTTCCTTCTACTTAAACTCTGTAGACAATTAGAATTATGTGCTACTTACAGGAGCTTGTCCATTAAGGAGAGATTTCTTGGCTGCAGAGGCATCCCATGAACCAAGAGACCATTGACATTTGGCTGATGACCACCTGTCGCTTGACAGAGACTCATCTACATGTTAAAAGAAGATGTTACTCATTAGTGGGTGAAGATACCTGCTTAGTTTCCCAATTAGGTCACATATACATTTTTCCAAATTTGTTATTGCCAAAAGTTATTATTTCCAAATTAGGTCACATATACATTTTTCTCCTGTGCTTTTAATTTCTGTAATATCTTGGCCAATAATCCAGCTTGGGACCCCAAGTTCACTATCAAGATAACAACAAGGTCACAGTTCTTTCTTTTCCTAAATGACAACAGGTGGGAGAAGCCTAATAAACCTAGATCAGTGGTCGGCAACCACGGCTTGCAAGCCACATGCGGCTCTTTGGCCCCTTGAGTGTTCTAAAGCCACTTCTTCAAGACAGACTCGCCCGGGCCGAAAACTGGCTTCTGCGCGTGGGCCACGGAGTTTCCATCGCACTGTGCGTGTGCGCCCGCACGTGGTGTTTTGTGGAAGAGCCACACTCAAGGGGCCAAAGAGCCACATGTGGCTCTCTAGCCTCGGTTTGCTGACCACTGACCTAGATGAAAGCACTTAGCAGCCACTGTTATAAGAGAGAGGGGATCTTTATTATTATTGTTATTGGGAAAGAAAACACAAGTATGAAACAAACAAACAAAAAAGGAACGGAACTCTCTAGGGAGCATGCCAGTGCCGGTCCCCACCTTCACCCCCAGGTGCACTTTCTTTGCCTCAGCCTCTTTTTCCTAAGCCCATTTCTTCTACCAGTTACAGGGCCCTTCTTTTGCTCCCGTAACTTGTTTCCTAATCCCATTCCTTCTTCAGCTCACTTAAAAAAATATATATATATATTTTTTTTTCTTTCTTTTTATTGATTTTTTTACAGAGAAGAAGAGAGAAGGATAGAGAGCTAGAAACACCGATGAGAGAGAAACATTAATCAGCTGCCTCCTGCACACCCCCTACTGGGGATGTGCCCACAACCAAGGTACATGCCCTTGACCGGAATTGAACCCGGGACCTTTCAGTCTGTAGGCCAACGCTCTATCCACTGAGCCAAACCGGTTAGGGTTTTATTTTTCAGTAGCAACGTTTATAAATCCAGCTGCACAAAATCTGCTTAGTATATCAATAAACCATATATTCGATCTGGCCATAAAATGCAGGGTCAATGAGCATGGTACACAAAGATTAGAGTCCTTTCTCTCCTTTTTTTCCCTTCCCCTTACACTCCCTTTATCCCTACTCATTTGCCACAAGTAACACTGAGAAACTATCATGTAGAAACTGGTTCGGAGAGACCAAGATGGCGGCATAGGTAAACACCTAAACTGCCTTGCATAACAATTTCAAAACTACAAGTAAAAAACAAAACATCTATCTTCCAGAACCACAGGAAAGCTGGCTGAGTGGAGTACTCTAACTAGAAGAATAGAGAAAAGAGCATTGAGTCATGCACAAGCGCTGAAAAGCTGAGGTACGGAGGCACGAGAACTGGGCTGGCGGCAGGCGTTGCTCTTTTTAACACGAAGGGAGACAGGCTCCTGATTACTCTGAGCTCCAGTTTCTGTAGAGATGCTGGGGACCCAAACTCCTATGGGGAGAAGCTGGACTGTCTGCCATCTGGTTAGAAAGTGAGGGTGACTTGCTTGCAGAGTTGTGCACAGAAATCATTGTTTACTGCACTGGGGAGTGAGACGCGGGGACAGCTGAGTGGCAGCCATGGCTGTTTGCCATGCCCTAGCCTAGTGACTCCCTGAGACCCTGCCCTGCACAATCTACAAACCCACCCAAGCTCCCTGCAGTGGTTTTTGCATATGAATGGCCTCCCCTATCGCAGCTTAACCTAACAAACTGCAGCTCTGGTCAGACAGCTCCAAAACCTCCAAACCCCAAGCAAAGAGGAGAAAACTAGTTCTCGCTATAGCTCCTGCTGGGTAGCCTAAGACAGTAGCTGACCTGCACCCCGTTGGAGATCCAGAAGCCAGTGTACTTAGTGGTTAGAGTGAGACACCAGATTTTAACTCCTCACACTCATAAGTGACACATTCAAGAGGCAGACTCAGTGAGCACCAAAGCCCCACTGAAGCAAATCCTTCCCCATAAGCATGTCTCCAGTGCAGCAGTTCTTCCATTACAGACACAGTGGGTCCTCACAGCCAATTGGCCTTGAGGTCAATTTCTCCCAGTGTACAAGTAGCAATCAAGGCTTAACTACACCAAGACTTTTCACTCAGCCCACAAAGGGGTGCACCAAGAGCATCCACCTCAGGTGATTAGGGAGGCTGAGCCACTGGCCCCTATAGGTCACCTACCACACAAAGCCACTCCATCAATACAGGGAAGCAGCCAAAATACGGAGACAAAGAAACATGTCACGAATGAAAGAAATGGAGGAAAGCAAACCACTGGACATAGAGTTCAAAACCACATTTATAAGGTTACTCAAGAATCTTCTAAAAACCGCCGAGAAACTTGATGAGACCTCTGAGGAGCTTAGTGAGACCTTCAAGGACCTTAATAAGAATGCCAGAAGAAAAAAAATGGAAAAGGACCAGTCAGAAATTAAGCATATACTGTCTGGATTGAAGAATATACAGAAATTCAACTGTAGATCAACATACCCCAAGAGTCAAAACAAAGATCTGAAATATGTGAGGAAACAAAAAATACCCAACCAGAAAAACAAGAAAAAAATACAAAAATATGAAGATAGTGTAAGGAGCCTCTAGGACAACTTTAAGCATATCAACATCTGAATTATTGGGGTGCCTGAAGAAAAGAGAGCAAAATATTGAAAACCTATTAGAAGAAATAATGACAGAAAACTTTCCCTACCTGGTGAAAGAAATAGATTTACAAGTCCAGGAAGTGCACAGAACCCGAAACAAGAGGAATCCAAAGAGGAACACACCAAGACACATCATAATTAAAATGCACCCTGCAGACTGAAAGTTAGATTCTGGCAAGGGCATGTACCTTGGTTGTAGGCACATCCCCTGTGGGAAGTGTATAGGAGGCAGCTGGTCAATGTTTCTAACTCTATATCCCTCCCTTTCTCTCTGTAAAACATTAATAAAATATATATTAAAAAAATAAAATTAAAAATAAAAAAAAGAAACTGGTTCTATATAATCATTACACAGGGATGAAACCAGATTTATCAGCAGGCCCATTAACCTGCAAGAAATGGCCATCTTTATGCTTGCCCATAGATTTGAGACCACTTATCTCTGTCCTCTCTGGTTTGCCTTTTACACATAAGTGCTAAACACCCCAAGAGAAAACACAAAGTATGGAACAAGTCAACAGATGCAAATACTTGCGGGGGGGGGGGGGGGGGAGGGGGGAGACACAAAAGCCAAGTAGGCAGTGACAAGAAAAAAAGAAAGAAGGAATTTAAAAAATTCAAAAGTCAGAATATTATGGCCTTTAAAAATTTGAAATTTGGTCTCTCTTTTCATCATATTCTTCATTCTTCCCAGAACAGGCTGACACATAGTTGAGTCTAGATTGCAGTGCTTATACTTGCTTTTCAAAAGAGCTGACTGAGAATAATTTAACCCTAATTGACCATTAATATTTAAAACTGTAATTAAATTTGTCAATACATAGAATCACTGGATTATAGAGATAACCACATAATTTTACTGGGGAAAAAATTAAGTCATAATATAGTTCAGGCAAATAACTAAGCAAACTTCTGGCAAGAATAGTCCGAGGTTCTCTAGTATATTCCCCTTGGGGCTCACCGGATTTGAGGTGATGGACAGCACCTTAGACTGTGGCACTCGAGGTAAGACCAAAGGTTGCAGTTCACTCAGCGCACAGGGGCTTTCTGGAGCCGATTTGGTAACTGCAACATTACTCTCATCATCTGAGCAAAGAAACAATGTTATCCATCTCCAGACCCATAGCAACAGTCCTGTGAAAAATAATCTCTGAAAATTGTCTTGAGCTAGGCTTCACTCATCTTTGCAGTCCAATTTCATACTACCTGCATGGTTCAAAAAACCCCACCAAAATCCTCAAGCCAATTACATTTCCCTAAATCATGCTGAACATCTTTTCATTTACTTATTGGTCATTTTTTATCTTCTCTGGAGGAGGGTCTAGTCAGACTATTTGCCCATTTTTATAATTGGGTTGTTTGTTCTTTTGTTGTTGAATTGTAGTTTTGTTTGTTTCTGAGAAAGGGAGGGAGGAAGAGAGGGAGAGGTTAGAAACACTGATGTGAAACACTGATTGGCAGCCTATGGCACATGCCCCGACCAGGGATCAAACTTGTCACCTGGATAAGTGCCCTAACCGAGAATCGACACCGCCACCACTTGGTGCACGGGATGATGCTCCAACCAACCGAGCCACACCAGCCAAGGGGAATTGTAGTTCTTTACATGTTGTGGCTACGAGGTTTTTATGAGTTGCATGATTTGTACATATTTGCTCCCATTCTGTAGGTGGTTTTCTCCTTCTTGATAATGTGTTTGGTACAAAAAGTTTATTCTAATGAAGACCAATTTATCTATTTTTTTTTGTCATTTGTGGGTTTGGTGTCATATCTAAGAATGACTGCCAAACCAAATAATAAACTTGCAGATGCAAATAGCTCAACACTTCAAGAAGTAACATAAAAATTATTTCAAGACACAAGCTCATGAAGATGTACTTTAATGTTTTCTTCTAAGAGTTATATAGTTTTAGTTCTTAATTTTGTGTCTTTTTTCCATTTTTAGTTGATATTTTGTAGAAGGTGTCAAGTAAGGGTCCAACTTCCTTCTCTTTTCCATGTGGCTATCCAGTTGTCCTATCCTACTTAACCCCATTGGATGATCTTGGCATCCTTGCTGAAAATCAACTGGACATAAGTGTGGGTTTATTTTTGGCCTTTTGATTGTATTCCATTGCACCATATGTCTGACCTATTGCCAGTACCACACTGTTTTGATTACTGTAGCTTTGCATTAAGCTTCAAAGTCAGGAAGTGTGAATCCTCCCATTTTTTTTTTCTTCCAATATTGTTTTGTATATTCAGGGTACTTTGCATTTCCATATGAATTTCTGGATCAGCTTGTCCATTTCTACAAAACAGGCACTTGGAATTTTTGTAAGAATTATAGTCAGCCTGTAGATCTATTTGGGGGATATTGCCATCTTAACAATATTAAGTCTTTCAATCCATAAACACAGTTGTCTTTCTATTTCTTTAGGTCTTTTTTTTTTTTTTTTATAAATATATTTTATTGATTTTGTACAGAGAGGAAGGGAGAGAGATAGAGAGTTAGAAACATTGATGAGAGAGAGTCATCAATCAGCTGTCTCTTGCACACCCCCTACTGGGGATATGCCCGCAACCAAGGTACATGCCCTAGACCGGAATCGAACCCGGGACCCTTCAGTCCCCAAGCCGACGCTCTATCCATTGAGCCAAACCGGTCTCGGCACTTTAGGTCTTTTTTAATTTCTCTTAATAATGTTTTGTAGTTTTCAGTGTACAAGTCTTTCACTTCTTTGGTTAAGTTTATTTTGTTCTTTCTGATGCTATTATAAATGAATTGTTTTCTTAATTTCATTTTTAATTGTTCATTGATAGAGGCTGGAGAGACGTATGATGGAGACTGCATAAATTGCCTTGAACAGACGTAGTGGAAATCTGGATTTGGAGGAAGGGCTCTGAAGGAAATGAGGAACATTTTATTAGAAGGGCCTGGGTGATGTGGTTCAGTGACTGAACATCGATCTATGAACCAGGAGGCCACAGTTCAATTCCCCATCAGGGCGTATGTCTGGGTTATAGGCTGGATCCCAGTGGGGGTCATGTAGAAAGCAGCCAATTGATTAAGTTTCATTGATGTTCCTATTTCTCCCTCTCTCTTCCTCCCTGAAGTCAAATATATATTTATAGAAGGTGGAAGAAGGGAGATGCTTGTTATTTGGTGGCAGGAAGGTTAATGAAGTGGTCTCCTGTAGTCATGTGAAAAGCAGAACTTTTAAGTGATAGTCTTGGTTATATAGCTAAGGAGATTTCCAATCAAATTGCTGAAGGTGAGCCTGCTGCTTATAATAAAACTAGAGGCCAGTGCACAAAATTTGTTCACAGGGGGTGGGGGTGGTGTCCCTCAGCCCAGCCTGCACCCTCTCCAATCTGGGACATCTCTCTCACAATCCAGGACTGCTGGCTCCCAACTGCTCGCCTGCCTGCCTTCCTGATTGCCCCTAACCACTTCCGCCTGCCAGCCTGCCCACCCCCTAACCACTACCCTGCCAGCCTGACCACCCCGTAACCACTATCCTGCCAGGTTGGTCACCCCTTACTGCCTCCACTGCAGGCCTGGTCACCCCTAACTGCCCTTCCTTGCAGGCCTGGTCCCCCAAAACTGTCCTCCCTTGCAAGCCTGGTCCCTCCCATCTACCCTCCCCTGCTGCCCATCTTGTGGTGGCCATCTTGTGTCCACATGGGGGCAGTCATTTTTGACCACATGGGGGCAGCCATCTTGACCATTGATTGATGGTCAATTTGCTTTTTACTCTTTTATTGGATAGGATAGAGCTGTGGTAGGCAAACTGTGGCTCTTGAGCCACATGAGGCTCTTTGGCCTCTTGAATGCGGCTCTTCCACAAAATATCACAGCCTGGGCAAGTCTATTTTGAAGAAGTGGTGTTAGAAGAAGTTTAAGTTTAAAAAATTTGACTCTCAAAAGAAATTTCAATCATTGTACTGTTGTTATTTGGCTCTTTTGACTAATGAGTTTGCGGACTACTGGGCTAGAGGCTTGGTGCATGGATGGGGGCTGGCTGGATTGACCTGAAGGGTATCTCACATCAGGGTGGGGGTTCCCTTGGGGCATGGGGGACCTGGGCAAAGGTGCCTGTGGTTGTTTGCAGACCGGCCATGCCCCCCAGCGACCCAAGTAGAGGCCCTGTATCTGGGATTTATTTATCTTCTATAATTGAAATTTTGTAGCCTTGAGTGAAGGCCAGGGCTGGCCAGAGTGGGTGGGAAGCTTAGCTTTCTCCATAGCTGTGGGCAACCAAGCCTCCTGCTCTTTCCAGCTCTGTGGCCGCTGCCATTTTTGTTGGGATTTATTTATCTTCTATAATTGAAACTTTGTAGCCTTGAGTGGAGGCCAGGACCGGATAGGGCAGGTGGGAAGCTTGGCTTCCTCCATTGCTGGAGGCAACCCTAGCCTCCTGCTTGCTCCAGTTCCGTGGCTGCCACCATATTTGTTGGTTTAATTTGTATACTCCCTCCTGATTGGTTGGTGGGCATGGCTTGTGGGCGTAGTGGAGGTACTGTCAATTTGCATGTTTCTCTTTTATTAGATAGGATATGAGATGAGAGAGATATATTGAAGAAAAAATTATTAATCATAAGTAAACCAGTACCTGATGATTTTGGAAATTCTCAGTCTCTCTAGATAACAAAAGATTCTAAATGGAAGAAGGCGGTCAGAACTCCAAAATTCTATTGGCCGGAAGCAGCCTGATAAAACTACTTAGCTGCAAACATGTGCTACCTTTCATGAAAAAGGAAAGATGACTCAGAGAATGAAATAAAGAGCCCAGTCAGTGCAGCAGAGAGTTGAGAGGATTATTTACAGGTTTTGAAACTTAATGAACTCCCAATACTTTCCCAGTTGGATTTCAGAATTGACCTGGACCCTTTTTTACTTTCTATCCTCCCACCTTTACCCTTTAACCTAGAATGTCTGTAACTATTATCCTTTCTGGGCCCACTATTGTATGTTGGGTGTGGAGTCACATAGTAACTTGTCTCTAGGAATGGAATAGTTAGATGCATATAACCTTTAGTTCCACAGGTGTATGAATGGAAAGGAATTGTGCCCCAGTGGCTTTACTTAATGTATTACATCCAAGCACTTGATTCATAGACAGACCTGATTTAGATGGTAATATTTTGGACCTCTGAGCTGCTGGCTATAATAAGATGAGTCTATTGGAAACCTTGGAAAGGAGTTGAAAGTATTTTTCATATGGGAGCACGTGAATCATTGGGCGCCAGAGAGAGGACTATTGTGGACAAACTCTAAGGTGGCTCTCCTGATGCTCACCTCTTGGTGGTTACACCTCTGTGTGACCCCTCCCTTTGAATGTGGGTAAGACCTGTGACTTTTTTCAGACCAATAGGTGATGGTAAAAGTGATAGGATGTGTTTCCCATTATTATGTTACAGTATATTAGCTTTTGTCTTGCTAATAAACTAGTTCTCAGTCTTTCTTGCTGTTTTTTTTTTTCTTTCTTGCTGTTTTTTAAGAAGAAAGCTGCCCTGACTGCCACAAGAAACTGATCCTTCAAAGAACACACACAAGGGAAAGTAGATCTTTTCTAGTTGAGCCTCTACATGAGAACTCAGCCCAGTCAATCCCTTGATTGCAGCCTTTTGAGATCCCAATTAGAGGACTGCTCCTGACTTCTGACCCAGAAGTGATAATTTTTTGTGCAACATAGAAACCCAACACAAACACTTCTTTAAAAGTTAGATATACATTTAACTATGTAATTAAACTATTCCACTCATACAAATTTATCCAAGAGAAGTGAAAATATATTTCCAAAAAATTCTTGTACAATGGTGTTCATAACATCTTTACATCTAACAGTCCAAAGGTAAAAACAATCCAAATGCCCATCAACTGATAAAGGGACAAATTATGGGACAATGGAATATATTACTCAGCAATAAAAGGAATAAGTGATTGGTACACACGAGGACATGGATGAATCTCAAAATGATCATGTTGAGTGAAAGAAACTGATAGAAAAAGAGTAAATACTAGGAGTCCATTTATATGAAATTCTGCAAAAATAAAAACTATAGTGACACCAGATTAACTATCACTTGGGGATGGTGTGCCGGGCAAGGTAATTTGAGGGGTAATGGTATGTTCACTCTATTGGCTGTTTCATATTCATATACACAAGTCAACTTATCAACTTATATACTTTAAATATGCATGATTTATTGGATATCAATTATTCTTTAATAAAGTAGTTTAAAGATGTTCTTGCCACTTGTACATGCTTTTTTCTCACAAATAATTATATTCAAAGAGAAAGCACTGTCTCTGTCTAGTCATCATAGACTAGGCCTTGTTGCTCCTCTCAAATATTTCTAAATATCTCTTAGTTTCTGTGGGAAATACAAATATGAGTCTTTTGCACTAATGAAGCATATAATCTATTAGACTAGTTAGGGCCTGGGAACCATAAACAATTACTTTTTTATATTTTTTCATAAAGAACCTTACCAGAGGCAAATCCCTCCCAGTGACTGCGTATCAGCTGCTCCATGCAGCTCAGGACCTTGCTCCACACTTCATCGAACACATAAGCGAGGACATCCTCTTTCATGCAGTGAAATGGAGCAATGGGAGGGTACCCTGATTTCTGTTTCTCTGTAGCTGCTTCTGATTTCTTTCCATGAAACCTCTCTTCCCTGTAACAGAAGCAAGATGGAAAGACTTTGTGGTTATTCACTGAATGCTCACCATTGTCCTTTGTGCTCCTTAGAAGTGTGATCTGTACCCCATGTTTCCCTGCCCCTTGCCCAGCATATGTAGCACATTTATTAAGTTGCCTTGTAAATTAAGGGAGTTCTCAACAGAGGAGACTGCATTTCCCTTATTATCCCCAACCACTACTTTGCCCCCAAGAACAAAAAATAGAAGACTGAAAATCACTGATTTTTTTAGCTTTAAACAGATGAGCATTGTCAACTGAGTAACAAGCTGTGATAACTAAGCATACAGAAATAATCTTTTGTTGTAACTGAATAACATTTAGACTAATGTTAATGTGACATTTAATGATGTGCATGTAACTGTTATTATGCTGCATAATTAAGGCAATGATTCATTAGGGAAAGAGTCCACACAGATTATTTAATCCAAATAAACATTCGGTAATTGCCTGGAAAGAAAAAAGAGCCCCACAGCACAGGAAGCTACTCTGAACCTCTTCTGGAGACTATCTGTAACCCAGAAACTCTCAGTGAGTTAAGTCTATCTCTATTTCTTCTTAGAAGAGATAACACATTCATATGACGAAAAATTCATTCATATGATGAAAAATGTATGCATGTAGAAAAAAATAAGTCTCCTACATCTTTGTCCCCCAACGTACATATCTAAAAGTAAACATCCATCCATCCAGAGAAAGTTACATTACGTACTGTACTACACCAAGGGAAAATATTGGCTAGAGGAAAAAGAAAATAAAATCAACTTAATACAAGTGAAATAAAGGGTAAGAGGGCAGACTAGAAAACCAAAGAACCTAATTGCGATTCTTTTGCAACAAGGAGGAGTTCAATGATGTTATGTACAGGAATCTGGGTTATGTTTAGCTGGCCCTAGAATGTGTGCCATTGAACATATGAGTAAGCAGGGCTCAGTAGGAAATATGATGGGGAGAAAAGTCCAGAATCATCTGACACAATATTAACTAGATCTAACCAAACCCTCATAGCCTAAAATGAAATTCTCTCGCTTCCAGATATGCTGCTGTGACTTTCAAAGCTAAAAGGACAGTTTAAGAGGTTGTTTCAGAAAGGCAGCATGGAATACTGAAGAGAACACTGGACCTAGAATCGGATAGGTTTTAGTTTTAGCTTTTCCTCGGACAAATCATTTAACTACTCTGACCTTCACTTCTCCTGTAAAGAGGGTAAATAATATCTATGTCACCAGACTATTGTCAGACTACAATAAGAATAGATATAAGTAAGCATCATTAATTATAAGGTCTGTGCTGAGTATAAGATTTTTATATGAACTGCATATAACTTTTTTTAAAACAGGATTTATGTAAATGAAGTTCACACCTCTTTTAAAATTTTTCAGTGATTCCATGAATTGCTGGTGATAATTTACAAAAGGTAAAATCAAATTATGTGGGGGGGGGGGGAAATTAACTCATTTTAAAATGGTTAATGTCAAGAAAAGGCAAATGACATGTGCAGGAGGAAAACACACCAGGATGCCTGGTTTGTGGCAACAGCAGGGATTTATATAAACTAAGCACATGAACTCTGGATACCTGAGAAGTAGTGGAAAAGATGTAACAACAACAACACAAAATGACAATTATAGGTAATATTGGTAGTGTATTTCAGAGAAAATAGGGGTGAATACATAAGAGATGAGAAAGAAACTTAAAAACCAAAATACTCACATATCCGTGTGGTCAAATGCTAAGTATTCCTCTATTACTCCTTCAGAGAGAATTACACAGTCTTCCTCTTCTTTTTCCATAGAACACAAGCTAGGGGATTTGGCAATGGAAGATGGTTTATGAACATAAGAAGTTGAGAAATGTAACTTCTTTCCCCTAATACCAAATCTGGGAGAAAGAAAAAGAAAATATTGATTAACATAAATAGCTCTCACAGTTCAAATTCCCTTGCCCTGATGACACTTCCCTTGACTACTATAAACCTTAATGCTTTTAATTCTCAGAGCAGGAGGGGTAAATACTAGCCATAGACATACTCTACTTAAATATATTATGTAGTATTGAATACTGCTGGTTATCTTTTCAGATGCAACAGCTGTGGCTATAAAATAGATTTTTAAAAAAAAATCTAAGCATACTTATATTCATAATTACATCTTTAAAGGCACTTCAGGCGGTTATGTGCTTATTTCAATAATTTTATCATTATTCAAAATGCATGCTCTTTAAAGCCAGGCATCTTCTCTTATTTATATTTAAGTTTTTCTTCAAACCCAGGTATTCATTGAATATGTGATGATTTCTTTACTTCAGCAAGCTTAATGTGGAGAAAGTCGGTCAGATCTGAGCAATACAATTTTGTTTTCCAGCAAAGAAAGTAAAGTCTATTAGTTGAGGAGCTGGCCCGGAGTCCCAGGTGAGCAAATCTGCTTAAAGACTTGTCTTTCAGAGGAGGGTTATATAAGGGGAATGACACTGATCACGGTGATAAGGGAGCTGAGTTATGGTTAAGGTCATGGTCTCTCCTGATTGATCGGTTCCAGGATAGGAGGTATTTGATCATTTGAGTAATACCATTTTAAAAATGGCTCTTAGTTTAACTGAATATTAGAGACTAGAGGCCTGTTGCATGGATTCATGCACTAGAGGCCTGGCCTGAGCCCTCTCACAGTCCAGCACCCCTCGGGGGATGTCGGACTTTCGGTTTCAGCCCAATCCCCCCAGGCCGGGCCGAGGGACCCCACTGGTGCACAAATCCGTGCACCGGGGTCTAGTAAGCATATAAAGATCTCTGGTTAATCTCTTTCCGCCCTCCCCCTCCCTCCTTCCCTCTGAGATTCATCAGTCTGTTCCATGTTTTCCCTGCCCTGCGTTGAGCGTCTCCCTCCTGATGATCCTTTTACAGTAGCTACCAGTCGAGCAGTCGAACAGTCGCTTAGGCTCATATATATATATATATATATATATATATACACACACACACATATATATATACACACATGTATATATACATACACACACATATATACATACACACACATATATACACATATATATACACACACACATATATACACACACACACACACATGGATAACCAAGATACGCTTTATATTATTCTTTATACTTTTTTGTACCTTAGGTATTTTTTAAATGGGGGAAAAAAGAATAAATCTAGGGCACTTTTCAGCAAGGCCAGTGGTAAAATCTTACTGGAAGACATTTTGGAAATATGCATTAGAAGACTTCCTGTTAATTCAGTGATTCCATTTATTGGTATTACCTTCAAGGATGTGCCCTATAAGATTTAGCTATAAATTTTTCACAGAATTATTTATCATTGTCAAAAATTAAAGCTATCCCAATAATTTCAAAATACAGGTTTGAGGACTGGTTGTTTAAATAATGGCATATTACAGAGAACAGACTGACAGTGGTCAGAAGGGATGGGGTTTAAGGGCTGGGTGGATAAGGTGAAGGAATTAACCAAAAAATAACAAACAAAAAGACCTTCACAGACATAGCCTTACTTTCTTTTCAAATTCTTTGGGATAAAGTTGTTCTTCACATTCACTTATTTTGATCAATATTTTATTTTCATTTGAGAAATAAAAACTCTACTTTAAAGCTGAAAAAAGTAGGAAGTATTTTAATTCCTTAATATACTGGTAGAATATAATACTTGGGCATTCAGATACATAAATACTTACATATCAGAATACTTACATAGTAGAATCTCTTTCTTGAGACAATGTTGCCTCATGTGAAGCTGAAATAGCAGAAGGAGATCTAGGGTACAGTTCATAACCTTCACTTGGAGGGATTATCTGCTTACCCAAAATCCTTCAAAATGAACATAAAAAGACAATTAAGCACTTTTACCTGGCATGAATAAAAAAATGTAGATATTTTCGGAACAAGTAGCTGGGCACTAATAGAGGTCTATTATACCCTTATTCTGATAACGATTAAGAATTATTTTTAAGAAAAATGTGAATACAGAGCTTTATTAAAGATCTCTCTCTCTCCCTCATATATATATATATATATATATATATATATATATATATATATATATATATATATATATATATATGACATGGAAAAGATAAAGCTATTATAGCCACACACACCCCCCATAAAAATCCAAGGAAACTGAGCAAACATTTGTAATTTTTTCCTCTGTCCTCTGTATTAAACCTGTCAAAATGGGTGACAGCCAGACCAAATTAATGAAAATCATGAATTATATTCTTTAGAACATGAAGCTTTATAAATTAGTATGTGTGTTAAGTGCACTTTTAAGGTTTCTGAAATAAGATTCCCAACAGCTTATGTGTGCTTCCAACTATAATTAAGAATTCCCTGTAGGTAAGAATGTAAATGTTTACATTTTCTGACTTACTCAAAAGAAGGGCTTTTGGACAGCCACAATACACACACTATCTCGGCTGCAAGTATAGAAATTGTTTTACAGGTACAGAAATTGACAGTTATGAAAACTCCAAAAAACTTCCATCAACTTGGTTCTCTCTCAACTGAAGCTTTACATTCCATGGCCTTATTTACGTTCATCAAAGCTATGCTCTTAAAGATTCATAATACAAGCTTTTCAAGTTTTAGTATTACCCATGAATATGTTAGCATCAGGGCTTCAATACCTGAGGTGAGGAAAACTACATGTCCACTGTTGGCACTCTTCTTGCAGACTCATAGTGTGTATGCTCAACTTCTGCTCATACAAGAGCTCGTCAATGGCTATAAACATTGCCTGGACTTTTTCAGTGGCATTTTGATCAAGTTTCTAGAAGAAAATATCACCCCAAAATATTTAGGTGAACTTCAATCTCCATTAAAAGTCATAAAGATTGAAAGCAAACAAGATTTTGTTTTGTTTTCAATACTTAGTCCATTTGATATACTGTTGAATTTCCACGAAAGTTAAGTTAGTGTTTTCAGATCTTAGAATATTCAGCTGTCTTCCCTATTTCTGTTTAAAGAAAATGTATAGAAATATCTACCTTTTTAAAGTAACATCTTTTCCATAAAAAATACTGTATTGTAATCATTTTGAAAAATCCAGAAAGTATAAAGAAAAAGAAAATTACCAATAATTCTACCACTCAAGATAATGATTGCTGATTTTGATATAGGTGCTTGGAGATATTCCAGTATTCTTTTAGAGCTTAAGGTAGACAATTCAGTATATCCTAGGGAGGGGGAAGAGTCTCCTCTCTCAGTCCGGGACCGCAGAGGGGATGCAGCAGTGCACCAAATGGCAAGTGGCCAGGAAGAAGCCCAAATCGGGGCTCATCTTACCCCCACAGAGCTTGAAAAACTGTTATTCATAAAAACATATGTATTGTCTTTATGGTTAATCTTCATATCTACTTAGCAAGCCCTTTTTTACTGTATAGAAGCTGACATTCATTTTTATAGTGAAAATATTTCTCATTTATACTTTTAAATAATATTTTAAAAAATCAATTTCAGAGACAGGAAGGGAGAGAGAAACATTAATGATGAGAAAAAGTCACCATAGGCTGCCTCCTGCTCACCCCCTACTGGGGGTCAAGCCCACAACCTGGGCATGTGCTCTGACCAGGAATTGAACCACAGTCTCCTGGTTCATAGGTTGACACTCAGATGGACTGTCATGTTATACTTTTGTTCTTTTAAAATATATTTTTATTTATTTCAGAGAGGAAGAGGGAGACAGAGATAGAAATATCAAGGCTGAGAGAGAATCATTGATTGGCTGCCTCCTGCATGCCCCACACTGGGGATCGAGCTCGCAACCTGAGCTCGTGCCCTTGGTTGGAATCGAACCTAGGACCCTGCAGTCTGCAGGCTGACATTCTGCTCACTGAGTCAAACTGGCTCGGTGCTTTTAAAGGAAGGTATAACTTTTCTTACATTGGAATGTAAAAAGGTGTATAAGTACAGATGAAGTAGAGAGTAAGTAGAGATTCAGATAATGTAACACTAGAGGCCTAGTGCATGAATTTGTGCACAGGGGATGGGGGAGAACTACGGGAGGTTGGCCACTGGCTCTGAGGAGGAAGCTGGCCCTTGGCCCCCTGAGAAAGGGGCTATATCCTTGGGGGATATCTGAGAGCAGGTTTCAGCCCTACGGAGAATGACCAATTGCTATGACACGTACTGACCACCAGAGGGCAGACGCTCAATGCAAGAGTTGCCCCCTGGTGGTCAGTGCGCTCCCATAGGGGAAGTGCTGCTCAGCCAGAAGCCCTGAGCGCAGCAGTTATGCTTTTAAAAGCATAACAGGAGCCTCTCCCTTCTCTGCAGCAGTCAGACATCCCCCAAGGGCTCCTGGGCTGTGAGAGGGCAGAGGCCAGGCTGAGGAACCCCCGAGTGCATGAATTTCATGCACCGGGCCTCTGGTATAGGATAATTACTTTACTTTCCTGATGAATTGGACTTTTTTCATTATGAAATGACTGTGTTTCTAGTATAATTTTATCCTAAAGTTGATTTTGTGTGAAATCAAATTTAAGGAATTTTTATGGCTGCCTTAGCTTTTTAAGTTTTTTTTTATTGAACTTACTGGGTGACATTAGTTAATAAAATTATATAGATTTCAGGTGTACCATTCTATAATACATCATCTGTATATTGTATTGTGTGTTCACCATTTATCCCTTAAATCTCTTTTACTTCCCTCTACCCCCTTTTCCTGGTAATTATCATACTGGTATGAGTCTATAACTGAGTATTATTATGTGTGTGGTTTTTTCCCCGCTTAATCCCTTCACCGTTTTCACCAAACCCCTAACCTCCATCCCCTCCAACAGCTGTCAGTCTCTTCTCTGTATCTATTGGTCTGTTTCTATTGTTTATTTTGTTCATTAGATTCTACATGAGTGAAATCGTATGGTACTTGTCTTACTATGATGGGCTTACTTCATTTATTTAGCATAATGTTCTCTATCCATACTATTATAGCTCTACCCATACTATTATAAAGAGTAATATTTTATTCGTTTTTATGTTTGAGTGTTATTCCATTGTGTAAATTACCATAGTTTAAAATATATATATATATATATATTATTGATTTTTTTACAGAGAGCAAGAGAGACGGATAGTTAGAAACATCGATTAGCTGCCTCCTGCACACCCCCTACTGGGGATGTGCCCACAACCAAGGTACATACCCCTGACTGGAATCAAATCTGGGACTTTTCAGTCTGCAGGCCAACACTCTATCCACTGAGCCAAACCGGTTAGGGCTCCATACTACTTTCTACAGTGGCTGCACCAATCTGCATTCCCACCAACAGTGTACAGGGTTCCTTTATCTCCACATCCTTGCCAACACTAGTTGTTTCTTGATTTATTTATTTATTTATTTATTTATTGATTGATTGATGACAGCCATTGGTGGATCCCCATTGCCTCGGCTTTTCATCTTTGGACCCTTTCATGTCTCCTCTGCACCTGCATACTGACTCATTGCCAGTCAGGGATGTACAGACAGCGTGGACCCTCTCTGATCTCTTCTGCATAACTATATGGAGAGTTTAACAGGGTCTCCTATGGCTGTCTAATTTTCAAGATCTCCTTGATAAATTTCTCGATAGTCTGCCAATCTATATATTGCCCCAACCAGTACTGAAGCCTCAGGCTATCTGAGCCACTGTTTTTACTTGTTCATATGCCACTGACTTCGCTATTGACAATGATTTTGGGTACAGGGTTCATCCAAGTTCCACTCCACACTACTGAGTCCTCTCTGGTGTTGAAGCTGCTAGTTTTCACAGCTTGTGCCTTTGTTGTTGAATAGATGCTCACTGTTCTATTGATTTCCATTAATAACTACTACAATAGCTCAGAGTTCTATTGATTTCCATTAATAACTACTACTATATTTGTTATGTACCTTCGTTCCGTGTTCAGTCCTGAAATGGTTGCTTTTGACCAATTTACCCAGCTTGTCGCTTTTTAGGAAAAGGATTTGCCCAGCTGCTCACTCTGCTGTACTCGAAGTCCCTTCGGACATAACGTGCTTTTATTATATTGTCTTTGTCAGGTTTGGGCATCAATATTATTCTGGGTTCATTTTTTTAAAATACATTTTTATTGATTTCAGAGAGGAAGGGAGCAGAGAGAGAAACATCAATGATTGGCTGCTTCCTGCATGCCCCCTATGTGCCCCTGACCGGAATCAAATCTGGGCTCTTTCAGTCTGTAGACCGACGCTCTGTCTACTGAGCCAAACTGGGCATAAACTAAGGCTTATGCTGGGTTCATAAAGTGAACTGAAAATGCTCCTATTTATTAGAATAATTTTGTGTAACTTATTTCTTCTCTAACTATATTAATTCCATAGTGAAACCACCTGAGCCTAGAGCTTTCTCTATGAGAATCTCGTATTTACTCTACCAGATAACCCTATGTAAAGTGAATCCCCCTCACAGGAACTCTGCAGTCTCTCTAGATATGCCAGGTTTCTTTATCTAGAAATGGCTAGAAATGGAAGCTGATGATTTGTAAGCATTTTGTAAATTTGTATTGCTTCAATGAAATTGTGACTTCCTGAGACCTGGACCATGATTTCCTACCTTACCTGAGAGAGGCTCACTGTTCGATGGTATGTACAAATTAATCTGAAGGAATATTTTAAGACATCTTCATGAGCTGTTTCCACCCCCCGTCTATCACTTCTTTTACAGCAAAAGTAGTCTGCCAGGTATGGTAGTTGTTTCTTTTGTGACATTTTGGGGTGGAGAAGGTGGATGTGATGAAGCCAGTAATTCAGGACTCAATTCCCTCTCATGTTGTGCTTTTTTGCTTTTGCAACAGAGTATACGAAATAGCTTCTAAAAGCTCCAGGTGCAAGCTGGGAAGAATCTCGGTTACTGTAATAACATGGTGACAACACTTGAAACCCAAATTAAACTTCTGTTACAATCTCACCACTCAGTTTATTTTTTAGCAGCTTAATGGGTACATTTTATTTTATTTTTTTAATCCTCAACCAACCAAGGAGATTTTATATATATATATATATATATATATATATATATATATATATATATATATATATATTCTTTTTTTATTATTAATACAGTAAAAGGGAAGGAGAGAGACAGAGAGAGAAAAACATCAATATGAGAAAGACATTGATTGGTTGTCTCAAGGGAGAAAGGTGGTTGGTAGGGTAGGATCAACCAAGGTACGTGCCCTTGACCAGTATCAAACCTGAGATCCTTCAGTCTGGGATCTGAAACTCTAACCGCTGAGCAAGCCCAGCTAAGGCTAATAGGTACATTTTAGAGTTTTCCACTTAGTGTGAAATTAGATCCTCCCTTACAAATGTTGTAATTAACATCACTCATAACTTGAATAAATATTGAAATACGCCCTGGCCAGTTTGGCTCAACTGTTAGAGCATCAGCCCATGGACCGCAGGGTCTCTGGTTTGATTCTCAGCCAAGGGCATGTACCTGGTAGCAGGTTTGTCCCTGGCCCCTGTTGGGGCATGTGCAAGAGGTAACCAATTGGTGTTTCTCTTTCTCCCTCCTCTTTCTCCCTTCCCCTCAATCTAAAAAAAAAAAAAAACAAAACAAAAAAACGCAAAACAATGGGAAAAAATATTCTGTTGAAGATTTTAAAAATGCATAATTGAAACTAAAAAAATGAAATAAAGTGAATCACCCTTATGATGTTCTATTTCTGCACCCTTTCATCTACTTAGAGCTCTACTGCCCCGTATCCCCGAGGACATGTCTGACAGGAATGTGCTCAATGCTTGTTGAATAAATAAAAACTGAAAACCCAAGTACCAATAATGAGGGAAAACGCAATTATGATACAATAAAACAAGGAAATGTTATATAAATATTCAAATTGACAGGTATGGAAGAAATAAAAGAAAATATACTTATATGAAATAATGGAGAATGAGAAACTAGACCACTGGGATGCACATATATCATATAACTATGTAAAGAAAGTATATATACATCTAAATTAAAATGCCTGGAAAATAACTCATGGTGATAGTAATAGGTTTCAACAATTAGCAGACATTTTGCAAAGGGAACAGGTTGCTGACAACAATATAGTATGAAGTCCATATTATGGAAAAGTGCTTACAAAATATTAAGTGAAAAATAAATCATAACATTGTATGTACACCATGATTATGGCTAGGCCAAATTAAATATAGATTTAAAGTGGATACAAAAAAAACCAAATCTATTGCATCAAGGCGATAAACATGTATAAAATTTGTCAAATTAAAAAAATTTTTTTGAATTTTTAAAAATAATATTTTACGGGGGGGGGGCAATGCAATGTTAAAATATGTACACAGATAATAATTTAATAAAAAAATGTAAAAAAAAGAGATACACTGGGAAAAAAATAAAAAATAAAAAGCTAAATAATAATAATAATAATATTTTACAATGGGAGATAGCCATAAATAAATAAATGAAGAAGTAAGTAGTAGTAAATAAGTAAATCTCTACGCCCACTTAATAAAAAATAAATAATGTCTTGGGAAATAATTTTAGTACTTTTTTCTAATCTACACCAATAAAAAATATGCAAGCTGACCGTACCTCTGAAATACCCATCAGCCAATCAGGAGTGAGTATGCACATTAACCCAACAAATAAGGTAGGTTAATTTGCATATGCAGGCGCAGTGCGGCGGGCAGGACACTTGCTATGAGGGAGAGGGCAGGGGGCAGAGGGAGCTACAGGAGCAGTGCTCCAGCTGGGAGCCAAGACCTGCAGGCTCCTGGGTAGCCAGGAGCGAAGCCAGGGAATGGAAGGCCTATTGTTATGTGAACCTTTGTGCATTGGGCCTCTAGTATATATAAGAAAAAATATATAAAATCAGAACTATAAAAACTCTTTTTAATCTCTTTTTCATTTAGCAATATATAATGGCTTAATGATAAACTTTCAAAAACATTTTAAACAAAGTAAAGTTAGTGTTACATTGGTGAAGAGACACATTAGTGACCTGAGCACAGCAAAAGGAGTAAATACAGGCCCAGATCCATACTAACCCACAGTTGTTTATGTAAGCAAACTTAAAAATCAACCACTATATCTATAAAATAAAATAAATGTTGAGAGGTGAAGACTGAAGCTTCTTTACAAAAGTATTAAAATATAAAGAAACAATGGAGGAGAGTGAAGGAATGAAAAAGACTGATAAATCCTAACTCCCAGAATAATCTCCCAAGTGCTCCCTTAGACCAAACACATAAAACTCACACCATATCCCCAGGAGAAGTCTGAGCTGCCTTCAGTAGAGATCCCTGTGCCTGTATAACTTGGAAAAGCAGACCTTGAATCCCCAGTGTCAGTTGATGTAAAAGGTGATTCTTGTGTGATGTCAGACTCACTAAAGGCAGAATTTGGAAGGGAAAGAGAAAACATTAACTACTCAGCAACTATGTGATAAGCATACGTACAAATATATCCAAAGAAGCAAAAAATCAGGGGAAGAACTTGAAATTTAAACATCATGAAAAAGTCCTAATTTCTATAGAATTGACGGAAGTCATTGCACCTAATTCTAGTCAGTTTATAATGAATACTTTAACATTCTACCTGTAACGTGTACCTTTGCCAACTAAAGACATTTCAGAAACATAGGTAATATCTGCACTTGTTTGGCACTTCCACAGTTTACCAAGAAACATGTACAAATATTAATCCCATTTCACCCTCATGACAACCTGGTGATGCAGAATTCAATGCCATTTTAAAGACAAAGAATCTGAAATTTGTTTTGTTTCATTAGTACAAGGCTTGATACCAATCCTAAGCTAAAAGGACAAAACCTTTGCCATTATCAAGTATAAAAACAAACAAATACCATTGTGTTACTACCTTTGGGAACTTGCATCTTTTTCCTGGCTGTCACTGGTGGAAGAAATTCCATCCAGCTGCTCTGGAAGGGGATGATGATCAAGAGCATATTTTGTTATTTCTTTCCTGTGAAAGATAAAAAGGAAGTTGTATTTCCTATAAACAAAAACATACCTTCCAGAAACTTAGTCTAGGCGTTTTTCACCTACTTCTTGCTGCTCTGGAAATGCATTGTCCAATACATTAGCCACTAGCAGTTACAGTGTGGTTAGTCAGAAATGAGATGCACAGATACATTTTAAGTATAAACACAGGATTTTGAAGTACAAGAATGTACAGTATGTCACTAATCATTTTATCTTATATGTCAAAGTGATAGTGTTTTAATGTGAGTTAAACGAAATATATTAAAATTAATTTCACTGTCAATTAAAAATAAGGTATAACCACACAACAATTAGAACAGATAAAATAAAATATGGCGATAACACAAAATACAGGTGAGGATATGGAGAAACTGGATGTGTCTCTCATATATTGCTGGTGGGGGATGTGAAATGGTACAGCCACTCTGGAATAGTTTCGTTTTCTTATAAAACTAAACATGCATTTACTATAAAACTTGGCCATTGCATTTTTAGACATTGATCCCAGAGAAAGGGAAACTTATGTTCATACAAAAATATGTATATAAATGTTCACAACAGCTTTATTTATCATTTTAATATAATTGAAATGTCTTTTGATGGGTGAAGGGCTAAACTCTGGTATATCCACAATGGAATATGATCCAGAAAAGAAAAAGTTACATACTGTATGATTCCATTAATATAACATTCAAAAATTACAGAACTATAGAGCTAGAGAAAAGATTAGTAGTTATCAGGAGATGGAGAAAAGAGTGGATGTGACTAGAAAGTGATACACAAAACTGTGTATGAAATACTATCTTGATTTTATAGGTGGTTACACAAATTGGTATATGAGACTAAACAAACACACACACAAAGAAGTGGCTATAGAAACTGGTGAAAAGTGAATTAAGACATTGCAGACCAGTAGTTTTATTGCTAGCTTTACCCAGTGCCAGATAAGTTTCTATTGAACATGTACAAAAAATGTTTTACATAAATGTTAAAGGCACGTTTTAAAATTAAATACCCATTGCATTTTTAAAAACATATTTTATTGATTTTTTTAGGGAGAGGAAGGAAGAAGGATAGTTGGAAACATCGATGAGAGAGAAACATCGATCAGCTGCCTCCTGCACACTCCCTACTGGGGATGTGCCGGCAACCAAGATATATGCCTTTGACTGGAATCAAACCTGGGACCCTCAGTCTGCAGGCTGACACTATCCACTGAGCAAAACCGGTTAGGGTTACCCATTGCATTTTGAAGTTATTTATTACATGTTCTTACAAGCTAATATCCTTTTAAAGTATGATACTTTGTAAAATACTGTGTAATATGAAGCAAGAATTCTCGTGATCCATCTGCAATGTGTTAAGGAATGGTCTAATAGTATTGTACCAATGTCAGGCTTTGAAATTATATTATCTATCTATCTATCTATCTATCTATCTATCTATCTATCTATCTATCTATCTATCTATCTAAAAGCCTAAGCAACCGTTGGACCAGGGGGCAGATGCTCAACGCACAAGCATGGAAACATGGAACAGATGGATGAATCTCAAAGGGAAGGGGGAGGAGAGAGGGCAAGAAGAGACTCCTCCAGAGAATCATCTTTTGGGAGAGTTATCTTAGGGAGTTTCAAATTAACAGGAGAACAAGTAATGTAGCTATATTTTTTCCATAATGGATAGTTTTTACTTTCTGAATAATCACAATTTATTATAAAAGCAGATTTTTAGCTAATCCCTATTTGCTTTCTTAGAAAATAACTCTTCTAATTTCTAAAAAGGTTATTATCTATACTGCTACTATGTAGATATCCTATTACTTTGTGGATCATAAGCTTCTGAAAGCAAGGAGATATCACAGAGTGGTTTTCTTCGTATGGTTACTGTACCAAGTAAAGTGGGAACGGACAGGAAATTACCACTTTCTGAGGACCAATTTAACTATGTGTCAAGTTTCGTGCCATCGCTTTTACATAAGGTCTTTTCCCTACGTTACAGAAAGGGGGGATAAAAAATTTAGTAATTTGCCTAAAAGTCACACGGCCTGAAAAGACCCTCGCCAGAACCCGGATATAACTGAAAAATAATAAGCTTGTTATTTCCATGTATAGTTAATAATAAATTGTATGGTTGCTAAAATTACATAGCTCATTGGGGGTTGGGGGGTTGGAGTTAAAAACAAACCCCCAAGCTCAAAACCTATAGGTTATATAATCTTAACCTGTTTGATATGGCATCTTCCGAAAAAACACACACACACACACACACACACACACACAAAACAAAAAAACCTGAAGATAATCATACTCATTGAGCTGCTACAAGGATCAAAATGTGAAAGTCTGCATTAGTAAATGTATGACATCATTACTTATTAAATTACAATATTTCGCTAGGGGTGGGAGGTGTGTATTTTAGCCAGAAATATTTGCTCTCTAAAGTCTCAAAGCAAATTATATGCATAACCCACGGAAACACAACAGGATGGTGAAGACCTGGGGTGTGTGTGTGAGGGGCTAGAAGAGGTCACTGGGGGGAAAGAGGGGACATATGTAATACTTTCAACAATAAAAATTTAAAAATAAGATGTAAAGACGTTTAAAAGCAAACATCCTTATGGATTCAGATGCTCAATTGTAGAGATGCAGAGGCAGTATATGTAATGGCTATGGCCACAGGGTTCAGAATCAGGTTGACACCGGAGCTGACACCTTCAGCTCCATCACTTTCTGGCTGAGTAGCCTTTAAACTGGGATCTTTATATGCAGAATGCAACGTAACAGTCCCCATCTGCTGTTCTTGTTGGGTAGGATTAAGTGAGCAAATACATGTAAGCATCTTTGCACGGTGCCTGGCACTAGACAGAGTCACCTTTATTGTAACAGACAGCTATCGATAACTTCTTGAGTCGCCAGTGGCCACGGCAGTGGGGCGTGAAGTGCAGCCCAAGAGGGAAATGCAGCCCCAGAGGGCCAAGCCCTGGGACAGCACAGGTGGCTCTCTCTCAGCTGGAAATGTAAGTAGAAGGGGCACAGTCCGGCAAGGCGGGAAGGAGAGAACTCCGAAGAAAATCTCCTTTCTCCCGCTGGGAGGGGAAGGAGCAAGGGACTGGCCACGAAGGGTCCCCAGAGCGCCCCCCCCCCCCCGCCTCCCCCGGCTGGGATGGTGGAGCAGCGAGTGCACTCACAGCTCCACGCTCTGTGGCACCGCCTTCCGAGTGTATCTGGAGATCATCCTCCTCCTCCTCCTCATTCGCGGCCGGCCCGGGCACGCCAGGGTGGGGGCCTCCAGGCCGGGCCCTCCGGCCGGCTCCTGCCCGGCCCCCTCCCTCCACCTTCCAGCCCCGTCACGCCCCGTCGCCTAGACTCCGGACCGCCGCCTCCTCTGCTTCCCCACCTCTCCGATCTTCCGCCCTCTCCACTTCCTGGCGGGACCGGAAGTGACGGAGGCGCCGCGCACCCGCCTAATGCTCCCGGCTGAGCGCAGCCGTGCCGACGCCGCGGGGGTTCCGGCGCGGAGCGGGGCCTCGGGTTCCCGACGGGCGTCTGGGAGGAACGTGGGGCTCAGCTGCCGGCGGTTCCCGGTTCCCGAGCGGCTCACGCGGCGGGCGGGGCGGCGGAGGAAAGCTGCCGCCGCAGAGACGTGCCGGAGAGGCTCTAGAACCGTAAGAGGAGTGGGCTTCATTTTGTCCGACGGAAGGCGGGAGCTTATCTGAGTCAAGAGCCCGAGACGGCGAGCCAGGCCCCCGCTGCCCGGCCGCTTCTCGTTTCTGTCCCCCAGTTTGTCATCTGTACCAGGAGGGCTTAGCTCAGTGACCTCCAAAGTCCCTTCTGGTTTGGCACGAATTCTTCGCCATCAGGTGTGCTTGGCGTCATGGGGTGGCTACGTGGGTAGAATTAACTGGATGCCCCTCTGGGTTGAAAGGCCGGAGGATGATCTGGGCAGCCTGTGATGAAAGGAAAGATGCAGGTTCCTCTCCATCTCATCTCATTAGTCCGATGGAAAGCCGAGTAGATATAGAAATCGAAGCACGTGGGCCATCCAGAGCTGTGCCGTTGTTTACAAAGCATCACCTGGCAGCAATAATACACTATACTTTTGTTTGTAATGGAAACTCTTCGAAGATAGATCTCTCCTCCACTCCTGGTATTACAGAGCTATGCCTCCCTCCTCCTCCCCTCCCCTCCCCCTACCTGAAAAAGAGGCAAAACTTGGACAGGTAGTGTAGGGTCAAGAACCATGGGCAAATTGTTTTGGGATAAGACATGAATGTTTTATAGTTTTTAATACCCCTATGTCATACAGTGTTTATAAAAGAGAAAGATCAAAATTCTTGAGAGTAAGGCAGATTGTTTTTAAGAGGGCTTAAATAATAAAAAGTTAAATTGGGGAAGGATTCTAGAGATGGTGGAGTAACAATTTAATTCTACAATTAAAAAGCCCCAGAAAGAGACACAAAATGTGTCCAAAAATGCGCCCAAAATGACACAATTAATTCAGTGGCAGAGCTGCGACTTTGGATAGTATTTCAACTGAAGATGTTAGTGCAGTGTTCTCAAAATGTGTTTGTTACACACGCCACTGCAGCCTCAAGGGCAAATTTTTTAAAATTTTGTTCTTACATAATTTGGGGGTGTGATACTGGATTTCCATTCATTGTATTATATCACAAGTTCCTATAACATAATTTTAAGTATAAAGAACATAATTTTGCCAAAACCGGTTTGGCTCAGTGGATAGAGCGTCGGTCTGTGGACTGAAAGGTCCCAGGTTCGATTCCGGTGAAGGACATTCGATTCCGGTGAAGGACATGTACATTGGTTGTGGGCACATCCCCAATGGTGGGTGTGCAGGAGGCAGCTGGTCGATGTTTCTTATCGATGTTTCTAGCTCTCCTCTCTGTAAAAAAAAAAAAAAAAATCAATAAAATACATTTTTAAAAATAAATAAAAAACAAAAAAACATAATTTTAAGCACAAAACTGTCATTGAAAGACTTTATTTTTTATTTTTTAAAAATATCTTTTATTGATTTTGTACAGAGAGGAAGGGAGAGAGTTAGAAACATCAATGAGAGTCATCGATCAGCTGCCTCTTGCACACCCCCTACTGGGGATGTGCCCGCAACCAATGTACATGCCCTTGACCGGAATCGAACCCGGGACCTTTCAGTCCCCAAGCCGACGCCCTACCCATTGAGCCAAACCGGTTTCGGCTCATTGAAAGAACTTTTTTTTTTCTAATATTTTTTTTATTAAATTATTATTTTTGTACATATACCATTGTCTCCCCCTTCCCGTACATACCCTCCCTCCCCAGAGTTTTGTGTCCATTGGTTGTACTTATATGCATGTATACAAGTCCTTCGGTTGATCTCTTATCTCCCCCAGAGCTCCCCAACCTCCCTGCTGCAATTTGACAGTCTGCTTGTTGTTTTACTGTCTCTATATCTATCTTTTGGTTCATCAGTTTATAATGTTCCTTATTATCCATAAATAAGTGAGGTCATGTGGTGTCTCTCTTTCATTGACTGGCTTGTTTCACTCAGCATGATGTTCTCCAATTCCATCCAGGTTGCTGCAAACGATGAGAATTTTTTCTTTTTTATGGCAGCATAGTATTCCATTGTGTAAATGTACCATAGTTTTTGAATCCAGTCATCTGCTGATGGGCACCTAGGCTGTTTGAAAGAACTTTAAATAAATGTTATTATTTTTGGTAAATGAGCAAGGCAAAAATCATGATGATGGTATGTGGACGATTGAATTTGGGAAAACAATATTAATGGAATCCCCTAGAATAATTCAGGGATTGGTATATTACTTCTACATTGTTCTAGATGGTTTATATTATTGAAACTTTAAATGCAGATTTCAAAGAAGAATGGAGGAGGATGTGAAGCTTGCTACAGTGGAAGATACTGTGGAGTACCACCTGTTCCTGGTACCAGATGAACCAAGGGATGCAGAAAGACACAAGGAGATTCTTCAAAAGTATATTGAGAGAATAATGACTCAGTTTGCACCTATGCTGGTCCAGTATATCTGGCAGAATCAGCCTTTCAATCTCAAATACAAACCTGAGAAAGGTAAGGAAGGCTCTTTTACTTATTTTGATTTGATATGGTGGCCTTTTAAGTTCATTCTGATAACAGTGATGTATAATAGCCCACCGTTTATTCAGTGTTGTCAGGAGATTTAGATTAGTGATGCTTGCCTATATTAAGGTAAGCCTTTAAAAAAACTTTTTTTCATTCATATTGATGAAAACATTCTAATAGTCACTACCTTAGGAACTAAGAAAAATTATTAAACGTGGGGCTGTTTTTTTTAAACTTTACTTTTTTTATGCCACAACGTGTCTAGGTACCTATAGTAAATAGATTCAGGCATCTTTAGCTGTTACTCTGTATTTCTCACTATCGATGGTGTGATTAGTAGGTTGCCTTGTTTTATAAGGTTATTTCGGGTAGTGCTCTGCCTGGCTTATAAAGAGAAATAATTGGGCTTTATAACCATTATTTGCCTATCAGAAGCATTTTGAGATTTTTCATTGTCTTCCCTGCGTTGTTGGTTGTTGAGATCTGACCTCCAGAATCATGGATAGGTGACCAGGCTCTCCTTATACAGCGATTCATGTGATCTTGTTTCAATCAGGAGCATGGCATCCTGCGAGACCCTAAGTCTGGCTCTCAACTGGTTGTCAAATGTCTTCTCTACCTTTAATTTTATTGAATTTCTATTCACGGAAATGCATGTGATATTTATTGGCAAGAACACTGTCATGTTAGTGCAGCACATGCAAACCCAACTCTTTTTTCTAGAAAATCATTTTTTTCCAGGGTTTTCTCATCTTTCTTAATGGCTTTGCCATCTACCTAGTTATTCAAGTTAGTCAGTCATTCAAAATCATGCTCAGTTCCTCACTTTACCATGTTCAGTCAGGGACTAAGTCCTAGTGTGAATACTCCTAAAATGTGACCCTTTCTCTACATCAGTTTGGCTACAGTATAGGCCTCTTTAAAAAAAAAAAAAAAAATATATATATATATATATATATATATATATATATATATATGTATGTATGTATGTTTATAGATTTTTTTATTGATTTCAGAGGAGAAGGGAGAGAGAGATAGAAACATCAGTGCTGAGAGAGAATCATTGATCAGCCTCCTGCACACCCCACGCTGGGGATTGAGCCTGCAACTTGGGCATGTGTCCTTGGCCAGAATGGAACCTGGGACCCTTCAGTCCTCAGGCTGATGCTTTGTCCACTGAGCCAAACCAGCTAGGGCTGTATAGGCCCTTTTTATCTCTTCATCTAGAAGATTATGATAGCCACTTAACTAACCTCTCCAGTTCAGGCATCTCCAGTTTCCTCATTCTGTTAAATTTACTTTTGAAGAACACTAATTTGATCGTGTCACTCGCCTGCCTAACATTTTGAACAGCTCCATGTTGCTTCTGGATGAAGTTCAAATTGAAGGTTAATGTATCAGATAGATATAGACACACTAATTGGAGTTTCTCTGGCTTAACAAACTTGGGAGGTCTGGGTGGGGATGAGAAGAGTTGACTGGGCTCTTCCCGCCTGTTCTTTGCCATGGCAGCTTTTGAGACACTCCACATGCACGTGTTTGACCTCATTCTGTTACTGTGGTGTAGTGCACTGACTGGTTTTCATATGTTGAACCATCCTTGCATTTCAGGATTATATTCCGCATGGTCCTGGTGTACAGTCCTTTTAATGTGTTCCTGAATTCAGTTTGCTAGTATTTTGATGAGGATTTCTACATCAATATTCACAGGGATTTTGGTCCTAGTTTTCTTATATTGTCTTTTGTCTGGTATTAGGGTAATGATGGCCTCATAAAATGAGTTTGGGAGAAGTTGCTCCTCCTTAGTTTTTTGGTAAGTGCTTTTGAGGAGTGTTGATGTTAATTCTTTTTTATATGGTTGGTATAATTCTCCAGTGAAGTCATTTGATCCTGGGCATTTTTTGTTGTTGGGAAATTTTGATTACTGATTCAATTTTCTTATGAGTTCAAGGTCTATTTAGATTTTTTATTTCTTCTCGACTAGACTAGCTAGATGGCGTGTTTTTAGGAATTTAGCCATTTCTTGTAAGTTATCCAATTTGTTGATATACAGTCATAGTGTTCTCTTATGGTCCTTTTTATTTCTGTGAAATAGGTGATAATATCCTCTCTTTCATTTTTGAGTCTTCTCTCTTTTATCTTAGTTAATCTAACTAACATTTTGTCAATTTTGATGATCTTTCTAACAAGCCAACATATTTGTTCTGATTTTTTTCTATTATGTTTCTGTTCTCTGTTTTATATATCTCTGCTCTGATCTTCATTATTTCCTTCCTTCTGCTAGCTTAGGATTTAGTTTGTTCTTTTCTAGTTCCTTAAGGTGTAAAGTTAGGTTGTTGATTTGAGGTCTTTTATAATTAAAAACTTCTCTTTTAGCACTGCTTTCACTGTATCTCATAAGTTGAGTTTTTGTTTTTATTTCCTCAAGATATTTCCTAATTTCTCTTATGATTTTTTTCTTTGATGCATTGGTTATTTAAGAGTATGTTGTTTATGCCCCGCCAGCATGGCTCAGGGTTTGAGCATAAACCTATAAACCAGGAGGTCACAGTTCAATTCCCAGTCAGGGCACATGCCAGGGTTGCAGGCTGGATCCCCAGTGTAGGGCATGCAGGAGGCTGCTGATCTCTACCATCAATGATTCTCTACCATCATTGATGTTTCTATCTCTCTCTTTCCCTCTCCCCTCCTCTTTGAAATCAATAAAAAATATATTTTTTTAAAAAAATTCTGTTCCATCCAAACCTAACTACCTAATACTCGCAGAACCTCTGTGCCTTTGCACATACTATTCTGGCTTTCTGGAAAGCCTACTTCTTTCTGGTCATTCCTCTGATGAGCATAACTCAGATGTCACATCCTTCTTGTTCACAAAGTCCTCAGTGCGTACCTCTGTGTATCATCTTGTTTTGAGATGACTTGGTTGTCTGTCATTGTTGGGGTCCTCAGCTCCTCAAGAACATGCTTCTTGTGTCTTGTTCCGATACACGGAGCTGGGGATTGCAACCCCTGATCCTAGTATAGTCTCCAGAGCACAACCAATGAATGTTTGTATAACTGAATGATTGTTTGTATTTTTATTTGCATTAGCAAATCACTTTGGTTATATGATACCTTTCTCTTGTTTTTAGGAGGTGTTCCTGCTCATATGTTCGGCGTGACAAAGTTTGGGGATAACATTGAGGATGAATGGCTTATTGTTTATATAGTAAAGCAAATCACAAAGGAATTTCCAGAATTGGTAGCAAGGTATTATAGTTATTTTATTCTTGTAAACTATGATATTTTTATCCATTTAGTAAGTTTTTTTCTGTGGTCTGGTAGAAATTTTACAGATTTGGTGTGATTTTAAAAGTGACTTGTGTGTTTCCTTCCTTTTCTCGAGGAAGAATGAAAGTATCAATGGAGAGTTCACCTTCCAAAATATTTCAAACCAAACCCACTTGTTTTAGGTTTTTGGGTTTTTTTTAATTCTCATGAAAGAACACATACACATGGTAAACAAAATTCAAACAATACAAAGGGCATACTGCTTTGATTTCTCAGAAGTAATCATCATCCAATTTCTTGTAGATCTTTAAAAAATAATTCCATATACACAAACACTTCCCATGTATTTCACAGATATCTTTATCATGTACTTGTCTATTAGACCATAGCTAATCATTTAGAAATTATATGTGTAAGAAATTCAGAGAGATATCAGTGAACAATTGTGTAGATAGCAAAGTAAATTGTAATTCAGTTTTTAAAAATAGAAACTGATAGTTCTCTGTAATGACAGAGTTCTACCAGCAGAGGGCGTTTTACCCACTTAGGCATGTCCTAGTTTCTTAGCCCTCAAATTCTGATCTTTTTCTATCCACCCAAACTCTTCCCCAGCAGAACAAAAAGAAAAACAACAAATTTGAAAATTTTATATAACATTGAAATTTCAAACATACATAGAAGTAGGAAAAATGAATTCATGTGTTCCCATCACACAAGTTCAAAAATTATCAACTCATGGTTATTCTAGCTATACCCTTCCGCTCCTTCCATATCACATAAGATTATTTTAAAGCAAATCTCCAGTGCTATGCCATTTGGTCTTCAAATAATTAAGGAAGAAAGTCTAAGCGATACCAATTGTTATTTTAAACACTAGTGCCCTGGCTGGAGTGGCTCAGTTGGTTGGAGTGTCTTCCTGTACACCAAAAGGTGATAGGTTCAATGCTGTGGGAGGCAACTGGTCATGCTTCTCTCTCTCTTTCTCCCTTCCTCTCTCTCTAAAATCAACAAAAAACATGTCCTAGAGTGAGGATTTTTAAAAAATCAAGTAAATAAATAAAAAATACTACTGTTATTACAACTACAAATAATTAGCAATAATTTCTTAATAAATTATAGCATTTTAAATGAACAAATAAAATATATTAGTTTCTGTCTTTACAAGTATAATAAGGAGGAGACAATACCTTTTTAAAAAAATGTTTTTATTGACTTCAGAGAGAGGAAGGGAGAAGAAGAGAGAGAGAAACATCAATCTGCTGCCTCCTGCACACCCCCTACTGGGGATCCAGCCTGCAACCCAGGCATGTGCTCTGGCCAGGAATCAAACCAGTGACCTCCTGGTCATGGGAGAGAACGCTCAACCAACTCAGCCACACCTGGGGCAGATGGCAATACCTTTTATGTGCAGATTCTGATATTTATATATTGATGGTTCATATATAAACACCAGGCCTATAAAAGCTCTTTAAATTATAGGCATTTTAATAAAATTTTATATATTATAAACCATTTATAAAAAATATAAAATATGTTATAAAATATGCATTATATATATCTCTCCCTTCTCTCAAAAATAATAAAGATATATTTTAAAAATAAAATAAAAGTAATGCAATTAAAGCAAAATAAAATGATCTTTCAAGGCCCAAATAATACTTCTTAATTTCTATAGGGAGTTAACTAGTCGTGGCTATATGTGATTTTTTTAAAATTTTAAAACCCTATAGTATTTTGTATATTTTTTCATACTTTTGTCTACTGTTATTTATTTGTATACTTATTTTCTCTCCAGCTCCCCCATACAATCTTATAATCTTTTTCAGTGAAGCATTCCATATTTTAAAAAACAAACTTACTTTCTTAAACATTTGTTTTAACAATAGCAGTCTATACACTGTACATACCTAGATATTTACTAAGATGAGTGAAAAAGTGTATTAGAATAAACAGGTATATTATTCAAAAAATCTGTTTAATTACTGGCAAATATGTGCTTTATGAATACAAAAGTGGAACTTTTTTTGCACTAGGATTGAAGACAATGATGGTGAATTCTTATTAATAGAAGCTGCTGACTATCTCCCTAAATGGTTGGATCCTGAAAATAGTGCTAATAGGGTAAGTAAACACAAATTTGGGAAACTTAGGGAGATGACATCATGTTGCAGTGCCTGGTATGAAAACTGAAATTAACATTTTGCAGGTGTTTTTCTACCATGGGGAGTTGTGCATTATTCCTGCACCTAGGACACCTGGAGCAGTATCCTGGTTACCGACTGCACCCCCAACAATCCCACAAGCACTGAATATAATCTCAACACACCCAGAAAAAATTTTGGCTTCAGAATCTGTACGAGCTGCTGTGAATAGGCGTATCAGAGGGTAAAAAAAAATAACATTTTCATTGCTAGTGAAGGAGCATTATGCTTTAGGACAGTTCAAATTTTTCATTGAATGTAGAATTTCACCTAGATAAATACTAATTTTCATTCTGTCTTCATTCTTCATGGAATTGACTACCAAATTATACTTAAATTAGAGGCCCAGTGCACGAAATTCATGAATGGGCAGGGTCCCTTGGCCAGGCCAATCGTAAGGTGATGGGGGGGGGACCCCCACTGGTACCCTCCTTGGCTAGCCTGGGGCCTGTGGTCTGGGGGAAGCTCCTGCATTGAGCATCTGTCCCCTGGTGGTCAGTGCATGTCATAACAACTGGTCAATTTGCATATTGGGCTTTTATTATATAGAATAATTTAAAATCAAGAAATTATATATTTTTAAAATTTCCATTTAAAAGTGTTATAATTCAATCTGAATATTTTTACATTATTCACCTTAGAAAGTATTATTTATATCCATAGATTAAAATTTCGAGGGCATTAGAAATAAAAACTTATGGGAGCAAATGTGCTCAGGTTTTTTCAGTGGTTCCTGGGAATATGTGGAATTCTTTTACCTGTGTGGGACACTTTAGCTTCTATTCAGAAGGGAAAGCCTAGATCTAATAACATAGTAATTCAACCATTTGAATTTCAGTACTTATTAAATATTTAGCACCACTAGGTCTTAACAGTATTAAAAATTTCTTTTAGCCCTGGCCAGTGTAGGTCAGTTGGTATGATCAATATTTTTTTATCATATTGTTCAATGTAATTTATTTCTGTACATAATTTATTTCTGTGTACCCATAGGTTGCCGGATTGATTCTCAGTCAGGGCTTGATCCCCAGTAGGGCATGCAGGAGGCAGCTGATCGATGTTTCTCTCTCCCTCTTCCTTCCTCTCTCTAAAAGTCAATTTTAAAATATTTTTAAATAAACCTCTTAGCTTTGTTTCAGTATATTTTGTACCATTTTTTTAGAAGAATAAACTAATTTTATCCTTGTTCTAAAGTATAAAAAAAAAAAATTATAGTAGAGTTTTTGTTTTGTTTTTATTGAACTACCTTAGTCCTTCTTTAAAATATTCAATTTCCTCCCAACTTTTCTCTTCTTTCCTGCAGTTTTTACTATATGCAGTATTTTTATCTTTAACTCTTTTGTCACTCTATTTCACAATCAATGAACCAAGATAAGATGTTAAAGAGAAATAAATGATATAAAAATTCTAGATAGTTACATATTATAAAGTTAAAGTAATTATGTTCTGTCACAGATACCCAGAAAAAATTCAAGCCTCCCTCCATCGAGCTCACTGCTTCCTTCCAGCGGGCATTGCAGCGGTGCTGAAGCAGCGCCCCCGACTGGTGGCCGCCGGAGTGCAGGCCTTTTACCTGCGGGACCCCATTGACCTGCGGGCCTGTCGTGTTTTCAAGACATTCTTGCCTGAAACACGGATAATGACATCGGTAAGATATCACTCTTGATCATTTCGTTTGCCTCACTGAAGAGTTAAATGTTATTTTAATTGTTCACTTAAAAAAGTTGGAAATATTCTGTTTCTTCATTTTAAGTTAATATGCTTTTTTCCCCCTTTTTTCTTTCCCCTCATCCAGTGAAAGGTTTCAAGAGACCTGACTACCTATTTTATATCCCAATGTTTCCTAGCTATTTTTGATCATGTTGTCATAACAGAAAACATTTTATTTCTTGCCTGTCCAGTATGGTTCAGTGATTGAGTATTGACCTATGAACCAGGAGGTCACGGTTTGATTCCTGGTCAGGGCATGTGCCTGGGTTGCAGGCTCAATCCCCAGTAGGGGTTGTGCAGGAGGCAGTCGATCAATGATTCCCTCTCATAATTGATGTTTCTCTCTTCCTCTCCCTTTCTCTCTGAAATCAATAAAATCATATTTTTAAAAAACAATTTAACCCTAATCGGTTTGGCTCAGTAGATAGAGCGTCAACCTGTGGACAAGGGTCCCAGGTTCAATTCCTGTCAAGGGCATGTAGCTTGGTTGCTGACACATACCCAGTAGGGAGTGTGAAGGAGGCAGCTGATCAATGTTTCTCTCTCATCAATGTTTCTAACTCTCTATCTCTCTCCCTTCCTCTCTGTAAAAAAAAATCAATAAAATATATTTTTAAGTAAATAAATGATTTTTAAAAAGAATTATTTTTTATCTTCTAACCAGCAAAATTGCCATATGATGTAACTAATAAGAATTTCATTAGTGCCGAGACCGGTTTGGCTCAATGGATAGAGTGTCGGCTTGGGGACTGAAAGGTCCCAGGTTCGATTTTGGTTAAGGGCATGTACCTTGGTTGTAGGCATATCCCCAGTAGAGGGTGTGCAAGAGGCAGCTGATTGATGACTCTCTCTCTCTCTCTCATCCATGTTTCTAACTATCTCTCTCCCTTTCTCTCTGTACAAAATCAATAAAATATATTTAAAAAAAAAAAGAATTTCATTAGTGATAACTAAAAAATAGGGTAAATTTTATGGCATGTGAATTATTCATTTAATTATCTCATTAAAGCTACTACTATGAAATATTAGCAGTGAATATGTGGGGTCTTTGCATTTCATATGAATATGAAGCTCATAAATGAGGCTATTGTTATTAACTATGAAATAATATTCAAATTTTAATTTTAAGAAAAGACTTGTGTCTTTTGTGTCTCAATGTCTAGGTCACCTTCACTAAGTGTCTGTATGCACAGCTGATGCAACAAAGGTTTATGCCAGACCGGCGGAGTGGATACAAACTGCCTCCTCCCGCTCATCCCCAGTACCGAGCCCATGAACTGGGCATGAAGCTGGTAAAGTTGAACAGAAAATCTTGTTTTCTTCCTATGTCCATAAGGGCTCTTAAGAGAATAATGGCACAGCATATAAAGTTTAGAAATATACTTTATTGTTTCTAAATATAGAAACAATAAAGTATATTGTTTCTGCAAAACAATATACTGTTTTTGCAAAAATGTGGTAAAACATTTAAAAATAAGGAAAAATGGATTATTCAGTAAATGATGATAGGACAACTCTGAAGCCATCTGAATATTAAAGTTGGCCCCTCACAACTGTACCAAAGTAAATTCCAGTTGGACCAAATATTTAATTGAAAGAATTGAAACCATAAAATTTGAAATTTTGATAATCTTTGTAGGAAAGGATTCTAAGCATGACTTGAAGTCATAAGCTAGAAAAGATTGATAAATTTGATTATGTAAATAGTAAATATTTCTGTATATAAAAAAAACCCATATATAAAGTCAAAAGAAAGTAAACATGGAGAAAATATTTTTAATTTAAATAACAAAGCTTATTTATTTAATATATAGTGTTCCTACAAGTTAATATGAAAAAATACAAATCAATTAATAAAAAATGTTTAGAGACATAAAAAGATAGTCCAGAGAATAGGAAATACACAGATTTTTAATCTAAAAATGAAATATATTGACCCTTTCTCATATAATAAAATAAATGCCAATTAAACCTAAAAAGTAGTATTTTCACCATTTGTTATCAAATGTAGTATGTAGTATCAAAGAGTTTGATAATACATACTGGATTAGTAAAAATATATAGAGAAAGAGATAGTACTATTAAACATTAATGGATATATAGAAAAAATATATAGAGAAAGAGATAGTACTATTAAGCATTAATGGATATATAAATTGGAACAAAATTTGTCAGTATCCCTCAACATTTAAAATGCACAAAGCCTTCTCAGCATCTTCACTTTTAAAAATCTGTCCTCCATATACTTTGCATGTTCACAAAGACTTTGAGGATACTCATGAGAACATTGTTTATAGTAGCAAAGATTGAGAACTACCTAAATATCTATTAGAAGGGAAACATAAATTATGGTGAAATAAGATGAATAAACTTATGTGTGCTCACAGAAAATTATCTCTAAGGCATGTGACAAAATAAAAAAGCAGCTTTAGAGCAGTGTGTATGCTGCCCTTGAGCGACAGATACACCCTGTCTGCCTGAGAGCATAGAACACTTCTGAGGTCATGTGCAACAGCTGCTTCCTCTGCAGTGATCAGGGAAGCTCCCTGTTTGGATTATTTCGCCGTGTGCATTTATATTTTTTAATGAAAGGACTCTTAAAATGAAGTGATTCTTCTCCCTTTACTCTGTCTGAGACCATGGTCAATTCATTGATAATTTCTGTTCGACAAGAAGCCTGCAAGTCTTTTTTTAAGCAAACAAGAAATAAGTTTAAATTCTAGTTAATCATCAGCAAGAAAAGAAATCTTTTTGAAGAGAACAAGAATCTTGTTTTGTATTATTTGCGTTCCGCTGTACTTTTTAGTAATCTACGGAGATTGAGAAATTTGGAAATAAAGTCAGATTTTTCATAAACTTTAAAAAGTGTTATAAATGTCCATATGTTCTTGTGTCCAGTCACCTAGTTCTTGAACATGTCTAAAAAGGGAAAGAAAGTAACTTAATAATAAAAATATTATCTGTTCCATCTAGGCTCACGGATTTGAGATTCTATGCTCCAAATGTAGCCCCCATTTTTCTGACTCCAAGAAATGCTCTGTGACTGCCTCACCGCTCTGGGCTGGCTTCCTGGACAGTCTGAAAAAGAACGACTACTTTAAGGTAGGCCTTTGCGATGCATTTTTAAATTGTGCTATTTGCGGAAAATCAAGCCAGTGATTCAGTCCTATGGTCCAATATGGGACATAATTATGTGAGAGAGAATTTGATATGGGACATAATTTGATATGGGACATAATTATGGGAGAGAGAATTTAAAGGAACCATTCTAATTCAATGGTAATGAAGGGGTGTCTATGAATCATTGCCAGTATTAGAAAAATTAATAGCATTTCTCTAAAGCAGTGTTTCCCAAACTTTTGACTTATGCGTACCCCTTCTATAATTTTCGTAACGCTGAATACCCCTTGTACTCATGAGAACGTAGAATTGGACGCAGCTAAGCATGGTGCAGTGCATATCCCCACCAAACTCCGGTGCAACACGTACCCCCACCAAACTCTTCCCGTACCCCTGGGGGTACGCGTACCACACTTTGGGAAACACTGCAGTGATAAAAATTATTGTTTGTATCAGATGAATGATTGTCACAAATCTGTAAAGCAAACATGAAGAAATAGCAAAATTAGCAAAGATAAGGATTTAAAAAATTACAAAAAGCCAACTAGTAAATTTATTTTAAAATATTCACTCTCACAGTAGTAGAGATATGCATATGAGCACAATAATAAAGATTGTTTTCATGTAGGTAAACAGGTATGAGTGGTATTCAGTGTTGTTGAGAGTAGAGTGAAATTAATACTCATATACATTGCTGGTAACATTGTAAATTAATAGAATCTTAACTGCAAAGTAATTTAGTAGTGTGTCCCAAGAGCTAAAGAAAGATTAAAACTCAGAGCCTTCACTTTGAACAGTCTATTTTAAGGAAACATCAAAGCAATAGAAATATGATTATAAATATTGTGTACCAATATGGAAAAATACTTATAGTATATATATCTATATTTTTAAATTTTTGTATTGATTTCAGAGTGGAAGGATGAGGGGGAGAGAGAGAGAGAGAAACATCAGTGATGAGAGAGAATCATTGATCAGCTGCCTCTTGCACACCCACAACCCAGGAATCGAACCATGGCCTCCTGGTTCATAGATCAACACTCAACCACTGAGCCACACCAGCTGGGCTATAGTATATTTGTAATGAATGTAAAATATTAAGTATGAATGCCACTATAAGCATGTGTGTGAAAAACAAATGATAAGTAAGGTGGGATTATACTGTTATTTTGATTCTATTTGTACTTTATCTTATAAATTACTAGTTAATCAATGATTTCTTAATAATTAATAGAAAATGGTACAAACCTTCTAAGTTGGAAAAAGACCCTTAACAGTGATAATGATTAGGAACCATTACATCTCACCTAGTCCCTTATTTGAAGAAATGGAGCCCAAACAGGCACATTAATGACAAAACAGGGACTAGGACCCAGGCCTCATGACTCCTGAGCAGTAGATCATGTTCTGCCTCCCTGAAAGTTACTGGTAAGCAGGTCATTTTAACCAGTTAACTACCACATCCAAAATGGAAACCATTCCCACATTCCACGATATTTTGAATTTAATTTAAAAAATCAATTTGCACTGAAACCGGTTTGGCTCAGTGGTAGAGCGTTGGTCTGCGGACTGAAAGGTCCCGGGTTCAATTCTGGTCAAGGGCATGTACCTTGGTTGCAGGCACATCCCCAATAGGGGGTGTGCAAGAGGCAGCTGATGGATGATTCTCTCTCATCGATGTTTCTAACTCTCTATTCCTCTCTATTCCTCTCTGTAAAAAAATCAATAAAATATATATATTTTTTAAATCAATTTGCAATGAATATTATAAAAAATATATATTGCTCTCAATTTGGGTGTGCTTGAATATTTTCAGCTGAAAATTCTCATGAAAAATAATTTTAAAGTTGGTCAGGGCTGCCACTTAGGGAAAACATTTTTTTTTAATAGATGCACCTGGCATATAGGAGGTCTGCCACCTGCGTCTACAGACACTTATGGTGTACAATGGGTTAACGACACTGTATAAATAATGTTCTGATAGGTTGTTATTATTTTTCAGGGACTGATAGAAGGTTCTTCACAGTACCAGGAGAGACTAGAAATGGCAAAGAACTACTTCCAGCTCTCAGTAAACCGGCCAGAAAGGTGAGTTTGTCACTGCTTAATCATGGCAGCAGAGAGGCCACTGCCAGAAGTTAACGAGTTACTTACTCTTAAGGACAGTTGCAGAAGTTGGAGTTTACATAGTTAGATAGTTAATGGCAAGGATCGTGATTACCGACGGGGTTGGGGCTGGGAGAGAGGAGGTGTTGTGCATTGATCCTTGGCACCGGTAGCTATTACCATCATCATCGGATAATGGCTAACATGTATTCAGTACTTACAAAGCACAGGCCACTTTAAACTCGTTTAATTCCCCCTTACAGCCATATGAAGTCAATGTTATTGTTCCCTATTTACAGCTGTGAAGCTGGGGTCAAGAGAGATTAAGTAATTTGCCAAAGGTCACACAGACCTAAGAGTCACACTCAGACAGTGTGGTCTCCACCATGTGCTTAATTCCTGCGGGAGTTCTGGGCTGTGGTTAGCTATTTTAGGAAGGTCTAAAACACAGGATGAATCCCTGACTGGTTTGGCTCAGTGGATAGAGCGTCAGCCCGAGGACTGAAGGGTCCTGGTTTGATTCTTATCAAGGGGATGTACCTTGGTTTCGGGCTCTTTTTCCAGTAGGGGGTGTGCAGGAGGCAGCTGATGGGTATTTCTCATTGATATTTCTGACTCTTCTCTCCCTTCCTCTCTTTAAAAAATCAATGAACGTATACTCTTAAAAAATAAAACAGAGGATGAAGCAGGCAGTCAGCTTCCAAATAAAAACTCAACATTTTTACTATTGGCAAAAATTGCATGTAGCTTAAATGTCTAAAATTTCAATTATGTTGCAGGAGATACCTTCATTCCCTCAACCAGGATAGTTTTTAAACAGTTTAAAACCAACCTCACATCTCCCTCCAGACCTATACTTGAATTTCCAATTTTTTCAATAGCTGAATTAATATCATAGTCTACCTGCCACTATCTTTTTTTAAAAAATATTTTTTTATTGATTTCAGAGACAGCAAAGGAGAGGGAGAGAGAGAGATTGAAACATCAATGATGAGAGAGAATCATCAATCGGTTGCCTCCTGCATGCCACTTACTGGGGATTGAGCCGGCAACCCAAGCGTGTGCCCTGACCGGGAATTGACCATTATCTCCCATTCATGGGTTGATGCTCAACCACTGAGCCACACTGGTCGGGCCCCACTGTCTTTTAATAGGACCTCCATTCTCCTGTCGCCCAGATCTCTGGGCTGTCCTTGAATCTGACACCGCAGAGCCTGTTAAATATCTTGTATCTTGTATTCCTTTCTTACTGCTCAGCTACACTAATTACTTATTCCTTGAGCTATGACAATATCTATGTTTCTCAGCCTCTAGTTAACTTTCTCTTTCAATTCAATTATTAGAGCCAGGAGAATCTGTTTGAAATAAATCTCCTCTCCTAAAAACTATTTGAGATTGTGATAGTGAAAAATTACACACAATCTACGTGTCTTATCAATAGCAGATACATGAATTACAGCATCTTCATTTAGAGATTAGCCAAATATACATTAACCTACTTCAGAATTTCACAATCTCGGCACTGTTTACATTTTGGACCTGATAATTCTTTGTTGTGGGTTACTCCCGGTGTATCATAAGATGCTCAGTAGCATGCCTGGCCTCTACCCAGTAGATGCCAATCGGATTCCCTCCACCCCCAGTTGTGGCAACCAAAGTGTCACCACACATTGTCAAATGTCCCCTGAAAACCACATGTATATCATTCATTCAGCAAGTAAGTTTGGGTATCTACTATGTGCTAGACCCTGTTCCGGACACTGGGGATCCAAGCAAACCCCAAGTCTGCCTGCCCTTGTAGAACTTACGTACTAATGTGGTAGAAAGATGGTAACCACTACCTGATATTAGACGGTGACAAGTGCTTTGAAGAAAAAGCTGTCTACGGGAGAGAGAAAAGGGCTGCTATTTTAGCTAGATTGGTTAAGGAGCCCTTCCAATGAGAAGAGGCCTGAGCGAAGTGAGGGAATAAGACATATAGGTATTTGAGGGAATAATGTTCCAGGTAAAGAGAACAAACAGCAAATACAACAGAGAAATACCCCCACAAACACACACAGGGGCCCAGAATGACACTTGGTAGAGTAGAGAGTGGATTGGAACTGGTGGTGCTAGTCATCACAGGAAACAGCTTTCAGAGATCATAATAATCTGGCCACTCAGTGTGTGTGTGTGTGTGTGTGTGTGTGTGTGTGTGTGTGTGTGTATTACAGGCCCGGTGCATGAATTCATGCATGGATGGGGTCTGGCCAGACTGGCCAGGGGGAGGGGACATGGGCGGTTGGCCGGCCTGACTGCTGATTGAACTCCTGGTCGAGGGGACAATTTGCATATTAGCCCTTTATTATATAGGATATACACTGAGTGGCCAGGTTATTATGCGTTCAGAGATCATAATAATCTGTCCACTCAGTGTATATGTTTTAATAGATAAAAGCATGGCTCTGTGCACTGAAAGGTTGCAAGTTCAAGTCCCAGACAGGGCACATACCCATATTGCAGGTTTGATCACCAGTTGGGGTGTGCACAGGAGACAGTGGATTGATGTTTCTCTTTTCCCCTCTCCCTTTCTCTCTCTAAAAATTAATAAAGACTCGCCAAAACCGGTTTGGCTCAGTGGAAAGAGCGTTGGCCTGTGAACTGAGGGTCCCAAGTTTCGTTCTGGTCAAGAGCACATACGTTGGTTGCGGGCACATCCCAGTAGGGAGGTGTGCAGGAGGCAGCTGATCAATGTTTCTCTCTTATTGATGTTTCTGATTCTCTATCCCTCTCCCTTCCTCTTTGTAAAAAAATTAAAATATATTAAAAAATAAAATAAAATTAAATTAATAAAGACATCTTTTTTTAAAGTACATATATATATTTACTAGTTTGATTTTTTTATGTTAAATGTATAAAAGTAATCATGTATTTAGAAGTAAATATAACAATATTATAATTTTGGGTCATAGGAATATGGACATTTGTTATGTTATCTTTTGTACTAGTTTGAATCATTCAAATCTCTTAAACTAAAAGTAAAAATAGCAAAGAAGTCATCATTGACTACCCGATGCTTATTTCATTGCGCCTAAACTTATTTTTTTCCCAAATATATTTTATTGATTTTTTTACAGAGAGGAAGAAAGAGGGATAGAGGGTTAGAAACATTGATGAGAGAGAAACATCAATTCAGCTGCCTCCTGCACACCTCCCTACTGGGATGTGCCCACAACCAAGGTACATGCCCTTGACCGGAATCAAACCTGGGACCCTTCAGACCCAACACTCTATCCACTGAGCCAAACCTGTCAGGGCTACAGAATTATTTGGAATCAAACCTTGGAACCCTTTGGCCTGTAGGCCAAGGCTCTATCCACTGAGCAAAACTGGCTGGGTGGGGGTCTGTATTTTAAAAACAAATTAGACTAGGTAATTCCTTTCAATTTAAAATGCTATGTTTTTGTAATTATTATTCTGAGCGAGTGCTCTTATATAAAAAAACAAAAACTACAGGCCCGATACATGAATTTGTGCACCAGTGGGGTCCTCGGCCTGGCCTGCGGGACCAAACTGAAAGCAGCTCTCCAACATCCCCTGAGGGGTCCTGGATCACAAGAGAGCACGGGCCAGGCACGATTGGGGCTGAGGAGAGAGGCAGGAGGTTGGCCAGCTGGGGAGGGGCTGCGGAAGGGCTCCAGGGCATGTCCGGCCCGTCTTGCTCAGTCCCAATTGGCTGGACCCCAGCAAGCTAATCTACTGGTCATAGCAGCTGCCCCCTGGTGATCAGTGCATGTCATAGCAACTGGTGGACTGCTTAACTGTCTGTCCCCCTGGTGGTCAGTACACATCATAGCGGGTGATTGAGTGACATTAGCATGTTATTAGCATATTATGCTTTGTTCGATTAAACAGCTGACTGGTCAACCAAACACTTAGCATATTAGGCTTTTATTATATAGGATACTAGTCTCTCACTCTCTCTCTCTCTCTCTCTCTCTCTCTCTCTCTCTCTCTCTCTTTTTTTTTTTTTTTTTTTTTTTTTTATAGCTCTCTTGCTATGAGCCCAGGTGAAGAAATCTTAACTTTATTACAGACATTACCATTTGATATTGAAGAGCTTAAGAAAGAAGCAGCTAATCTTCCCCCAGAAGATGGTAAGTGATGGGCCAGGAGGGAGCGGATGGGTTAGAAAAATTAAAACATCCCACTAAGTCTCATAGGGTCCTTCCCCAAGAGAACTTTCATTGGAATGTGGCATGGCAGTATCACGCTCTCTCCTTTCAGATGACCAGTGGTTGGATCTCTCGCCAGATCAGTTGGACCAGCTACTGCAAGAAGCTGCTGGCAAAAAAGAGCCAGAAGAGCCCGTTTCCAAGGAGAAGGAGCACTGTGACTTAACTCAAGTCTCAAAGAGCATGAAAGCTTTCATATCCAGAGTCTCCACGCACAAAGGGGCAGAGCTGCCTCGGTGATTTGTGTTAAGTGTTTACCTAAACAGTCATAGCCAAGATGTTGAAGTCATCCCTCACTGCCACGTGCACTCTTTCTTTTTCTTTTTTTAAGGAAATGGTTTGTAACTCTTTGTTTCCCTGTTGTGGTATCTAGTGGCATAACTTACTTCTCTGGAGTCAGAGTTCTAGTAACCTTATCCTTGGCAATCCTTGAGAGAGACCACTCGGCAGGTCTAAAAGCCACCGTCTCAGTGCTGCTCAGGGCCACTGTGCACTTTTCCCTCCAACTTCTACCCGGAACCTATGGGCTCTCCCCAGCCAGCTCTCAGCGAGCTCGGACTTCTCATCTCCCCCCGGCAAGCATATTGGAGGCTTCACACTCACAGGAGTGGGAAGAAATAATAGAAGAATTGGGAAGTTGTATTTGGCAAGTAATGGGGGGAAAAAGGTAGATGGAATTGTTACTTTCACAGCAAAAACACCTTTATCAGTGTTGATGCTGTGGAGCTCATGAGATGAATACAGTTTATGTTCAATATTCTCACTTCAAAACACCAAGAGTAAAGGAAAGTTTGTTCTTAATAATATTTAAAGATTTGGTTCTTAAAGAGAACTTTTTTTTTTTTGCTATATCTTATAGGAGTTTGAAATGGGTGGGTAGATCCTTAAATCAACTTGTTAAATGTGCATAAACAAAGTGCAATTTTTACTTTGATTCTATCAGTTTTTCCCATTTGTGTTGCCCTGCAAGACCAGTAAGTATAAGGATTTTTAAAATTTAAACTGCTGCCCAGCTGGTATAGCTCAGTGGGTTGAGCATCAGCCCAGGTACCAGAAGGTTACTAGTTTGATTCCTGGTCAGGGCACATGCCCAGGTTGCGGGCTCAATTCCCAGTAGTGGGTGTGCAGGAGGCAGCCGATCAATGATTTTCTCTTATCATTGATTTTTCTCTCTCCCTCTCCCTCTCTGAAATCAATATATATATATTTTATATTGATTAAAATATATTAAAATATATTTTAATATATTTTAGCCCTGGCTGGTTTGGCTCAGTGGCTAGAGTGTCAGCCTGCAAATTGAAGGGTCCCAGGTTTAATTCCGGTTGCAGCCAGTCCTGGACCTGTAGGAGGTAGCTAATCGGTGATTCTCTCTCATCATTAATATTTCTATTTTCTCTCTCTCCTGATTCGCTATCATCATTGATGTTTCTATCTCTCCCCTCTCCCTTCTTCTCTGAAATCAATAAAAATATATTTAAATATATATTTTTTAAAGTAAATAAAATTTAAACTACCCGTTTTTCTTGTTGCACCTCTTTTGAGGTTGTATCTCTAGTAGTGTTCCTAAGAATGGGACTTGAAAAAAAGTTTCAAAGAGTTAAGTTCTAGATAAATTGTTTTCTTCCTTTAATTTTGCAGAGACCGTTCTGAAACTCCAATCACTTTTGATGCAGATTCTTTTCTTAATTACTTTGATAAGATTTTAGGTAAGTTACAGTGTGATGTTTGCTTTCATTTTAAAACTGTAATTAGTATGGATGGGCAGTGAAGCGTTAGATTTCTCGGAAGACAAAACAGTGCTTTCTTTTTTTTTTTTTTTTTTAAATATATTTTATTGATTTTTTACAGAGAGAGGAAAGGAGAGAGATAGAGAGCCAGAAACGTCGATGAGAGAGAAACACCGACCAGCTGCCTCTTGCACACCCCCCACTGGGGATGTGCCCGCAACCAATGTACATGCCCTTGACCGGAATCGAACCTGGGACCTTTCAGTCCGCAGGCCGGCGCTCTACCGCTGAGCCAAACCGGTTTCGGCAAAACAGTGCTTTCTCTTCATAATTTTGGATTGCTTTCAACAAGAATTCCTGCCATCTTGATGTTAGAGGCCTAACTCAAAGACGAGAGGGAAATGTGAGGCAGTAATTCTGAGCAACCCATGCGCATGCCACTAGCCTGCCGAGACAGTAACTTTGCATGGCTTGAATGTTCACATCAAAATGTATTTATGCAGCCCAGCTGGTGTTTTCATTGGTTGAGTAAGCATTGACCTGTGAACCAAGAGGTCACAGTTCAATTCCTGGTCAGGGCACATGCTTGGGTTGCGGGCTGGATCCCCAGTAGAGGGCATGCAAGAGGCATCTCATCAATGATTCTCTCTTATTAATGTTTCTCTCTCCTTTTTTCTCTGAAATTACTAAAAAAAAATATTTTTACAAAATCTATTCATGCATATCATAGCTTTTATTTTATAGTGAACTAATTGACTTAAAAAAGAGTTGAATCTGCCGGGACCGGTTTGGCTCAATGGATAGAGCGTCGGCTTGGGGACTGAAGGGTCCGGGGTTCGATTCCGGTCAAGGGCGTGTGCCTTGGTTGCGGGCATATCCCCAGTAGGGGGTGTGCAAGAGGCGGCTGATCGATGACTCTCTCTCATCGATGTTTCTAACTCTCTATCTCTCTCCCTTCCTCTCTGTATAAAATCAATAAAATATATTAAAAAAAAAAAAAAAGAGTTGAATCTTTCAGTTCAGCTTGTGTACTTTTCTACAAATACCTACCAGCAGCACCATTTTCTGGAAGTGATTTTTGTGAAGGAGTTTGCCTGTGTATATTGGTTCTTTTTCTGCAAATAATTTTCTAAGTCTTTTGAAAGGTGTAATCACTCAAAACATTTTTTACCAAGTGGCATTTCTGTGTTGGGGTGTAGGACCAAGGCCTCCTGAGTCGGACTCTGATGACCAGGATGAGGAAGACTCTGAAAGTTTAGAAAGTGATGATGACTTGGATTTTGAAACACAGGAGCCTGGGGAAGAAGCATCTGTAAAAGGAACACTTAATGATCTCAAGTCATACATGGCCCAGATGGACCGAGAACTGGCACATACCAGCATTGGCAAAAGTTTCGCCACCCAGAAGCAAATGGTATGTGTGTGTTTAACTTATTTCCCTTTTTGAGTCTATTACAAAGGACAGCTAAAAACATATTTTATCTTGTGGCTTTTTTCTTGTTTGTGATAAATTTGATTTTTTTTTATTTGAAATAAACCAGATTGTTAATTTTTCCTAACTCTGGTTGGATGATGGATTATTAACTTTATTTTCCTAAAATAAGCTTAATTATATTACTCTGTTATCTATCAGGATTTGAAATAATATCATGTGATGTGTTGAAATTAGTATGTGATACTACGATTAAGAGCTTACATTGATTTTTTAAAATATATTTTTATTGAATTTGTACAGATAGGGAGAGAGATAGAGAGTCAGAAACATCAATGAGAGAGAGTCATTGATCAGCTGCCTCTTGCACACCCCCCACTGGGGATATGCCCACAACCAAGGTACATGCCCTTGACCGGAATCAACCCGGGACCCTTCAGTCCCCAAGCTGACGTTCTATCCATTGAGCCAAACCGGTTTCGGCCATTGATTTTTTTTTTAAAGGAGAAATGTCTCTAAATATCCAAATATTTTTCAAGTCTTAATAGTATTTGATTTGTAAGTTTCCCAAATTTAGAGCCAAATGTAGAATTCATCTCCTAGTCGTGTTTTGATCCTACCAATATTGATTATACCAGCATTAACACTAGACAAAGAGGCATCTCACGAATGAGTGTTTGAAATCCATTTCTGCCATCCACTGTGACTATCCATTGACAAATAATTCTCATGTCATAGAACCAAATGAGACAACAATAAAACCCATAATGGACCTTAATTAATGTTATTCCCTTGCTTTGATCATTTAAACCACATTTAAAATTATAACCACTTTTAATATTGCCAAAACCTAATAGAAACCATACATTAGAGTTATTTAAAGCAGGTTTCTTAAGTGGTAGTGTGATGTGAGCCACCTTACCATATTAAAATACAGACACTGGTTAAGGATGTCTGAAGCGTGGCCTCAGCTTTTACGTTTCTTTTTTTTTTTCTTTTTTCTTTTTTTTGTGATACTTTATCCTTTAATTTTTTGTGGAAAATATACATATAGGCTTTAAAGGAATATGGAGTGCACTATAAAATGGTCTTTTGATATCAGCAAAGAAAGTTGTAATGGCAGAGTTGTTAAAAGGCTGTTTGGGTAAACAATTTGGAAATAGAGACTGTATAATGAGTAAAAATCTTTCAAAATAATGGTCAGGATGACCAAATGAAACGTTTTCATTTCCAAAGTTCGTAAACCCTATAGGTTTTCATTGCCAAAAGCAAGAATGTTGTCCATGTAATGTCCATAGAAATTACATGGTGAAATCCCATGTTATTTCGAAATTCATGGGCTAGTGGCCTAGTCAGCAGGGTAATGATGTGTAAAGGCAATTACGTTTCTAACGAGCTGAAGCGTGCACATGGGCCACGTTGAGTGGGTCATGTTGCATCTTTCAAATCTTTCCCCTGCCTGTGAACTCAGAGGCTCCAGTAACAGTTTAGAGTCTTTGTGGTTCAGCTCCAAAAAGCATCAGGTTTTTACTTTGCTTTTTCATTGGGAAAAAGGAAAATTTAGTTTCTTTTTCTTAGAAAAAAAAAAGTAGATTCTTTTTAAAAATGTTTTTAATGTTTATTTTTTAAAACTGTTAGGCACCATATAAATGTATGTCTTTACCCTGCTTATCTCCCTTAGGCTCTTTCATTCATTCAAAGTCATTCAATTTGTAGAAACTATTACTCGAAAAAAGTGTATTATAATCTTTGGAACGAAATTTTAATGTATGTGTTAAATTACATAGTTTATTAAGACTTCGTTTTTTACTTTCTATTAAGATAATTTGGAATTCTAATTTTACATCGTTGGTTAGCTTTGCATTGTAACTACCACAACCTATTGACATATTATCCCATGATTCTCTTTCCCTCCATGAATAAGGAATCTGTAGTCCAGGCTACCAATAGCAATTCAGATGAGGACGATTCTGGTGCAGGCGGACCTGTGATGACACCAGTGGATGTAGACCTAAACCTGGTCTCAAACATCCTGGAATCGTATAGTTCCCAAGCTGGGCTGGCCGGACCTGCTTCCAACCTCTTACAAAGCATGGGCGTGCAGCTGCCGGACAACACGGATCCCAGGCCCGCAAGTAAGCCCGCGAAAGACTAACTGGCACATCCAGCCTGTCCTTTCTCTTTTTAAATAAATATTGAAACTGAGTGTGCTCCTTTCTAGTTTAGAGTACTCATTTAGTAAAACATATTTATTCAGCCCTAACCGCTTTGGCTCAGTGGGTAGAGCATCAACCCCTGAACTGAAGAGTCCCTGGTTTGATTCTGGTTAAGGGCATGCACCTTGGTTGCAGGCACATCCCCAGTAGGGGGCATGCAGGAGGCAGCTGATCGATGTTTCTCTCCCATCGATATTTTTGATTCTCTCTCCTTCTCCTTTCCTCTCTCTAAAAAAAACACACATATATATATTTAAAAATACATATTTCTTCAAGTTTCACAGGTTGACTTCTCCTCTCTGCCAGGGTCTTTGTGATCTCCCAGAGGCCGCACAGGTTTTAAGTGAGAAGAAGAGATTACATATTCCATGTTTAGAACATTGTTTATATTTATTGAAGACTAAATGTTGGGTAGAGAAAGGAAGGTAGTAAAAAATAAAGAATGAATGAGTTGCTTTTTTTTTTTTTTTTTTATAATTCTAAAGGCAGTGTTTATTAAAATACATTTCATTTTCAAAATTGAGCTATCAACTGTTAAAGTGTGTATACATTTTTTGAGGGACACCATATTGAGAGAATTTTTTGGAATAATACAAATTATTATAAAGGAAGTAGCTACGGAAGATGGACCTTCACCCCCTGACCTTGCCTGGACTCTCAATTTTTAAAAAATATTCCCAGCCGAAACCGGTTTGGCTCAGTGGATAGAGCATTGGTCTGCGGACTGAAGGGTCTGTACCTTGGTTGTGGGCACATCCCCAGTAGTGGGGGTGCAAGAGGCAGCTGATCGATGATTCTCATCGATGTTTCTAACTCTCTATCCCTCTCTCTTCCTCTCTAAAAAATCAGTAAAATATATATTTTTTAAAAAAATATTCCCAAAAGCCTGGAATGATAGATCCTCCCTTCACCCAATAGATGGATGGAGAATGACATAAACTCCACCTGCAGCCCAAACATTCCTGAACACCTAACCAAGCACCTTATATGGACTTACATTGAACCACCAATCAGCACCCGCCAAATATCCTAAGCCCTGATTCCTAAGTCTCTAGGTCCCTAATCACATACCTTACATGAAACCACCAATCAGCGTGTGCTGAGTGCCCTAAGCCCCTCCCTTCCCTTTCCTCCCCTCAGAAGGCGCCTTCACCCCTGCATGTGCTCTCTTCCTTTGGGAGGCAGGTGGCAGGGTTCCTTCTCCAATAAAGCCTGTGTCCTGGTCTCCCCCCTCTGTCTCATCTTTCAGAATTCTACTTTAATATTTGGTAAATTAGAAATATTAAATGAAAATATTCATTTTAGTGGTAATTAATCTTTAATTTTATTATTTTTTTTAGCTGCTTTAAATGAGTTGCTTTTTTATTCCAGTTACCTGGAATGACCTTGAGCCAGGATCACTCTGGTGACAAATACACTGATTTTAATATTTAACTTGTTTTTACTATTCTACTTCATAGACCCAGTGGGTTCTTTTTATCCTTAGCACCTTCATCATTAATTGCCACATACATATTCTCCAGCCAGGTAAGCCCTGTACCAAAGTTCCTTTTGCTTATGTCAATTGCAGCATCCTAACCTTGTCCTCTTTAGCCTCAACTTTCAGATATCCTTGGAGTTCTGAATAGCAAAGCTCTCTTCCCACTCATTGCCGGGAAAACAAAGTTCAATGGTGCAGCTTCTCCTGTTAGCCACTCTCATCTTTTCTTTTCCAAAACAACACATTAATCCAAAAGCAAACAGTTACTCCACGGTAAATTTGAGAAACACGCACCCTCCCCTCTCTATCCTGTATTTTCAGACTAGGAATGTGTACACATGTGCTCACAAACACACCCACATGGAGATAGAAAGGATTGGGAGATGGTAATACACATGGACCCTGAACTGTTTTCTTCTGACTGCAAGATAAGGGGAAATCTCGGGACCTCTTTCGAGAGTGCTTTTCCCTTCTACGTGCGGGTTCAGCTCAGGTCAGAGCAAGCTGCCAATCTCGCAGGACAATCAAGTCCCGTCTCATTTTATCCCTCAGCGTTTCCTGGTGTAGCTACTTTGATTTCCAAAGCAATGATGGTTTGCAGTGTGACAGCAATGACTTTTTTCAATAGGAAATTCAGTGCTTCAACTTTTCTAGTTCTAGAAGCTTTTCCTTAGTCCTATGGAACTTTGATGTATGCATAGTCTTCGGTTTTTGGCACTCATATTTAATCATGTTAGTGCCTGAAATCATCCGAGGATACAGCTCTTTCCCCAGACATCCACTCTTCTTTTCAGACTGGCCTCCGGCAGTGTTCTTCTGCACGTGGCGTCAGTTGTTCCCCAGACTTGGAACCTGACTTAAACACTTGTCACACTAATACAGATTCCCTTTCTCCCGCCCCCTCCAAATTCTCACTTTCTGCACTTTCCTCTCTTCGTAAGACAGAAAAATACATCTAAACAGAGGTATATAAACTTCTTTTATTTCCTCCAGATAAATTCTTCTCCCCTATGACAACGTATAAAATGGCATATATGAATGATGAGAATTCCTAAATTTAGTTTATCCCATAAAATTCAAGAAATGGTTCATCCTCCCTAATCCCTTGGTTTGAGATACAACACTTACTGGATATGCAAATAGCAGAAACCATTTTACATTTAGGGAAACAGGAATGGCAAAGTGATAATCACTGCCTTACGTTACAAACTGAGCAAAAAAAAAAAAAAAAAAAAAAAAAAAGACTGACCACCTTGCAGTTACCTCAACAGAACCTCATTGCACCTGATTTATTACTGAGGACCCTGCGGAAGACCTTAGCTCCCACCTTCCGCATCCCTCAGGTGACTTAAAGAAACAGGACTCCTATTTAACTACCATGAACAAAATAATTACCTGTACATGATTTCAAAAATGTTATGTTGTGCTATTTGTCTTAATTCTATGAGGATAAAAAGTAATTAAGTGGGTTGAGATTTGCTACATATTTTCACTACTCAGATAAAAGGGTTTTTTTAAAAATATATTTTATTGATTTTTTACAGAGAGGAAGGAAGAAGAATAAAGAGTTAGAAACACTGATGAGAGAGAAACATCAATCAGTTGCCTCCTGCACACCTCATATTGGGGATGTGCCCGCAACCAAGGTACATGCCCTTGACCGGAATCGAACCTGGGACCCTTCAGTCCACAGGACAACACTATCCACTGAGCCAAACCGGTTAGGGTCAGATACAGGTTTTAACCAAAATTATGCCAGGCACATTTTGGCAGTTGGATATAAACCCAGCATTAACAAGCCACACGCCAAAAGATGTTACTCCCAAGGCCTCAGAGAAAATGGGTAAACAAGGGCCCACATCTCAAAGAAAGCTTCAACTTCCCAATTTTGCCAGTTGCCACCTCATTCGTTTTCTTATGCTGGCATTTTTGGTTGTGATGGAGTAGGAACCTCTTTCATTAACTCTGCTGGCAGAGGTGTCTCGCTGTAGGCTCACCTTCTCTGTCTTAACATGAATCTGGTTGGATATGGCCTTTGTCACCTCCCCCTTCTCAACAGTGATGTGCCCTCCTGAGGAGGGGCCTAGGTGATCTGAGCTAAGCAGGCAGGGCGGGGCAGGTCGGATTTTCCACCCACTCCCTAATCAGTTGATGGGCGATGGCTAACTTAGGGGGCAACCAGAATGGGAAAGTCCCATCCTGTTGCTGAGCATATGGGTGCTTCCTCTTCAGGGCTGCGACCACCTCATCATGGCTAAACCAGGCAGCTGCTTCTAGCTCTTTCAAGTTCACCTGGATCTGAAAGACATAAGGAAAAACAGAATGTAAGATTGGGAGCTACGGAAGTTAGAATTCTATAGCCAAAGGTGAGAAAACAATTCTAGAACTAAGCAATCTTAGAAGATAATACCTAGGATCCATAGACTGGGAACAAATCAATTCTAGATATTGCCCAGAAGCAAAAGAGGCACATGTTAGAGATGAGAGTTAAATATATTTTTAATAGTAAAAACCTAGAAATACAAATACTAAAATATTAAGAGTGATTAGCATAGAGGGGTTGATTATGAATAATACTTGTTTTGCTTTGTGCCTCTATTACTCATATAAACATACAAATGTTTTTCTTCTTTAAAAGGTAAAGGTTAATTAATGATCATCAAAATCATTGTATCTTCTTTGCAAGGAGCAAAGTAGTACAAACTGAATCTACAGGAAGGTGAGGCAGATTAGATAGTATTCATTCCATAGAAACCAAAACACAATAGACGGATTTTGGTGGATAGGGACCACAATGCCATCTGTAAGGGATGCTATAGAAGATGAGGTTGGATAAGACAATATCTAAGTCCCTTTCAACTAGAAGTTCCTATAATCATTATTATTATGTAATTGATAATAATTATCAGTGCTCAACATCCTGACTGACTTGAGCAATAAGATCAACCTTGACATCAATAATTAAATTTGATGTATGATTTGCCTAATCTATGCGAGATGCTCTGTTCAGTCCTGATGATGAAAGTTAAGTTGTCTCGTGATTGAGATATGCACAAGGAAGAATGATGACCATGTTGGCACTCCCAATTTTTGTGGTAATTCTTTTCTCTACGAGATTGAAAATTCCTTAAAGACATAAATCATTTCTTACACACCTTTGTACAATCGAGACAATGCTGGACTAGGCAGATGCTTAGTAAGTACCTACTGACAAGCTTAGATGAGGCAAAGGGAACGTCAGAGTGTAAGGGAGGCGGCACTTACCTCTGTCTGCCCTGGTTTCACAACTGCGTGACAAGCAATCATGAGTGAGCTATTGGGGAAGGGCCAGTGCTGGGATGCAGAGTACTGCAGTCTTTCCACCTCCAGTCCCACCTCTTCTGCAACTTCTCGATGGACAGTCTCTTCCAGAGTTTCACCTACAAGCACTCAGATTAATTCAGGACAGCCCTGCAGCAGGAGGGGTGATACAGATGCCCATTTGTGAAAGAGCGCAAAATGGGCTCCGAAGCTTCAGTGGAAATACTCTTGGGAGAGCCTGAAATCTCTGAGTCTCTACAACATTAGGAATCAAGTCTAAAGTTGGGTGTTGAGCTGCGATACTTAAACCTACTAGGGTAGTTATAATACAAAATAAGAGTGGCAGTGGGAGGGGTTACTGCTGTTGTCAGTTTTAATAAAATTCCAATGCGACATATCGCCATTTGCGAATTTTACCCCAATAGGCTGAGAAAACACACCTGTAAATAAATATTAATTCTAGTTAATATTATGCATGCTGAAACATTTAGGGAGTGGTGAGTGTATGGGTTTTCACTGTATAGTTCTTTCAGCTATGCTGCATGTGTGAAAGTTTGCCTGTAAAATATTGGAAAATTCTAATGCCAGGGGCCATTTTCTTGACATGACAGGGAAGAAGGTGCTTGAGGCTCCAAGCACTATGACAGCAACACAGAGAAATAACTACCATCGATATGCTGTCGTGTCTCTAAATCCTTACCTATGTCACAGAAACCCGCCAGGGCAGAGTACATCCCCTGGGGAAAGGAACTCTGGCGGGCAAGCAAGCATCGAGTCCCATCTGACACCAGAGTGATCACCACGGGAGCCATCTAGGAAAAGGGGGTGGCAGCTTAGACATCGGGCTGTGGAGCCTGTAAGTAGGATGACGAGTGAATCCGAGGAAAGCCTGTGTACAGGCTCCCATCCCCAGGACAGCCTGGAGAGCTTCTTGGATTGCTGTCCCTCCAGAGCAGTCCTTACCTGCGGGTAATAGATGATCTTGTTGGAAGGGCACACACGCTTGCTGCCGGCCACGTTCTTTTTGGTGGGCTGCCCGCTTCTGCTGCAGAACTGGTGAGCATCGTGCCAGCGGAGGAGAGCCTGCGCCTAGGAATGCAAGGTGAGCTTGGTTTCGTGTGAGAGAGCGTGGGCTTATTTGGGACAGTGCTGGGCTCAGAGGGAAATGCCAGTGCCTTTTCAGTCCCTCTATTTTAAATGGTTTATTACTGTCTAACCTTTAAAATAAGGAAGCTATTGAACATATTCCTCCATCATCTGAAACGTGGATAACAGAAAGTGTAGGTCAAGTATATTATGAATTATTTAAAAAATACGTGATATATAAAGTATTAAACACCCCTTGTACTTATGGCCCAGCTTAAAAATAAGACACTTTTAATATAGTTTAACATTCCAACATGTGTTCCTCCTCAATAAAGTTGGAATGCTTTTACAAATAAAAAATGTTTAGAGATATATCTAAATTTAATGGATAATCAAAAGCACTTTAGCAAATGAAGTGTAAAGCTGTGAGGATGAGTCAAAGCAATAAAAGATAATTTCTCACAGGAAAAACAAAACGCCTGTGACAGGCTGTGGGCCACTGAACACGTTGAGGTTGATAGATGCCTCAGATGGGCATGTCCTCGGGGGGGGGAAAAGTTCCTGATGGCAATCCTGCCGGAAACAAGGGCAGAGGGAAGAGGAACAAGCACTTTCCCACAGCACAGTGTCCTTCTGCCAGGTTCGTAGGAAGAACGATAATCTGCACGTAGCTCTCGCCTGTGTTACGCCGCATGCATTTGCCCTCATGCACTGCTTTCCTGTTTCCTACGAACTGAGGAGTCGGGACCTACCGTGGTCAGCAAGGAGGCCTCCTTCACGTTCAGCCGGTAGAGAGCCTTCCGCAGCTCCATGAAAGCCCCCTGGAGCTCCGTCTCCATTTCAGGTTTCGGCAGGGAAGCTAGGAAGTTAGAAAAGAGAATGAAATGAAACCACTGTCCAACTGCCTGGGGGCCCTCCTCAAGTATATGCAGTTAGAACAGTGTTTCCCAAACTCCCTAATGAGACTCAACTAGGAAAAATAAAAAATACAGATTCTCAGCCCTGGCTGGGTAGCTCACTTGGTTAGAGCGTCGTCCCTGATATGCCAAGGTTTCGGGTCCAATCCCTGGTCAGGGCACATACAAGAATCAACCAATGGCCGAAACCGGTTTGGCTCAGTGGATAGAGCAATGGTCTGCGGACTGAAGGGTCCCAGGTTTGATTCCAAACGGTGGCATGTACCTTGGTTGCGAGCACATCCCCATTGGGGGGTGTGCAGGAGGCAGCTGGTCGATGTTTCTCTCTCATCGGTGTTTCTAGCTCTCTATCTCTCTCCCTTCCTCTCTGTAAAAAAAATCAATAAAATATATTTAAAAAAAAAAAAAAAGAATCAACCAATGAATGTGTAAATAAATGGGACAACAAATTGATGTTTCTCTCAAAAATCAATATATAGGATGTTCACAAAAAGTATACACACTTTAACAGCTGATAGTTCACATTTTGAAAATGAAATGTATTTTAATAAACACTGCCTTTATAATTATTTAATAATTATATTATTCAATATAATATAATTGAGTAATTACAAAGGCAGTGTTTATTAAAATACACTTCATTTTCAAAATGTAGAAATTAGCTGTTAAATTGTGTGTACATTTTTGGGGGACACTCTTTATATACAGGCTCTCAAGCCTCCCACATGGAGATTCTGAACAGCAGGTGAGTGAGGCCAGAAATCTTTAGTTTTAACAAGTACCAGGTGATTCTCATGTTCAGGCAAATTTGGGACCGGCATAGTGCTGTTTCACAGGATTGTCTTCAGGGCAGGAAGAACATTTGGACTAGCCATACACTCTCCCTGGAAAAGAGATGGGACCTCGAGACTCCTCTCTGAGCCTCATCCAGCATCATTGCATTTGCATCCACACCCTGAGGAGAGAAGAAAGGCCTGAGAGGAGCCATGAGCTGCAGCAGACTGGTTCCCAAAGGCAGGTCTGAAGACCCAGAGCGACTTCAAGGTAACGTTTTTTCATTTGCATTGAAAAGAGATACAAAGATGATGTCAAATTTAAAATCATTTCTTATGAAATATTTATGACAAATGTATAAAGATACAGAGAATAATAGAATGAACATCTTTGTGTCTACGGCCATACCACCCTGAACGCACCCGATCTCGTCTGATCTCGGAAGCTAAGCAGGGTCGGGCCTAGTTAGTACTTAGTACTTGGATGGGAGAATGAACATCTTTGTGCCCACCATCTACCTTAGAAAGTATTAAAATTCCTTTATTTTTTTTTTTTAAATGATAGTAGATGGTAGTGTCTTTTTTTTTTTTTTTTCCCCCCCAGAGAGAAAGGGCAAGGGAGAGAGAGAGAAACATCAATGCGAGAGAATCATTGATCGGCTGCCTCCTGCATGCCCCACACTGGGGATCAAGCCAGCAACCCAAGCATGTGCCCTGATCGGAATCGAACCATGACCTCCTGGTTCATAGGTTGACGCTCAACCACTGAGCCACGCCGTGTGGTAGTGTCTTTTTTATGCTCTAACTTAAAATATAAAGTTTATAATTCTGTATTCCCAAATTTTCTTATTTTATTTTATCATGTAAAATCACAAAGTCTGAGAACGGCAGGAAATACCCGTTGGGGAAACGTGTACCGTTTGCGGAAGAGGAGCTATTTAGACCTAGATCCAGAGCAAACCATGCTTCCTGCTGTTCGGAGCATCCAATCAGCACGGAATCTTCTATTCTCCGTGTGTCCTGGCCAAATTTATCCAGGAGCTTTTCCAACTCTAAGAAACAGAAGGAGAAGGGAAAAAACAAGGGCCTTAAATAAACCACCCGAGCCGTCTTCAACTTACCGAGAGCAGACACCAGCTTCAAGTAGGTGCACCTGGCTGCCAGGCGCTGCCCTGCAGCTCATGAGCTATGTAAGCATGGTCTAATCCCTTACCCTCTAAGCCTCCGTTCTCTCGCCAGCAATCTGAGGACTGTAGACTATAAAAGGAATTCTTTCTGCATAGCCCTGTATTAATCTATGATTGTATCACAAAGAGCATCTTTCCAGTTCAAAAGATTCGTGATAGTTATTATGGCAAAGGGAAAGAAATGTGTCACATTTAAAATGGCAGAGACAGCCGAAACCGGTTTGGCTCAGTGGATAGAGCGTCGGCCCGTGGACTGAAGGGTCCCGGGTTCGATTCCAGTTAAGGGTATGTACCTTGGTTGCGGGCACATCCCCAGTAGGAGGTGTGCAAGAGGCAGCTGGTCGACGATTCTCATCGATGTTTCTAACTCTCTATCCCTCTCTCTTCCTCTCTGTAAAAAAAATCAATAAAATATATATATTTTAAAAAATAAATAAATAAAATGGTAGAGACAAAATCAGTTCTATAATCGCAAAAACAGGTTTTGCTGTTTTTGTGGGCCAGAGTAGAATAGTCATCTGAGACTCCAGTATGTATAACGTAAGTGCTGCATAAGGAGGAAACCTACCCTGTGCATGTACACTCCTATTTGTTTGTTCATAATACCGCAGAGCATTGCCACATCCCTAAATGTGCCTTCCGAGGCATCCTCATATTTTGCAGGCTGGAAACTGCCTAACAGGTCTCCAACATCCGACCCATGAAGGCAATTCACTGGCGACGTATTTAGAAGTTAAGTCAGTGTATAGTGACATCATAGAAAACGGAAACTTAGTATCTTGAAAGCCAAATCCCAATAGTTCAGATATCTCTAGTTACATTAATTCACTATTAATTTTGACCCTTTATGAGAAATGAAGTCACAATGCAAATCCTGGCCAGTAAGACATGGTACAACTCCATGGAGGCTGGCAATCACCAGTCCAAGGCAGGGGTTGGCAAAAATCTTTTAGGTTTTTAAGCTCTGTCAGCTCTGCTCTGCCATTATAATGGGAAAGCAGCCACAGACAGCCTTCTAGTATAAATATATAGATGAGTGTGGCTGTGGCCCAATGAAAACTTATTTACAAAATGTAAGGGGTTCCAATTTGGACAGCACTTTAGCCTACTCCTGGTTTAAGGTAGTATTGGTTCATACCATCACTAGCTAACAGTTTCCTGGGCAACATAGGTGTATACACTAAGTATTTAATTGGCAGAGAACTTGAAACAACCTGGACTCTACACTTGGAGGATCCTTCTCAGGGATTCACTATGGACTGAATTCTGCGTAGAGGCGCAGGCTGGTCTGCTCTGTGGGCTCACTCCGGGCTTACCCAGTAGGCGAAGCTTGGGGGGCAGGTGTTGATGTTCTGATGGCTGAAGCAGAGGAGCCAGGTTATGAAAGAGGTAAAATGCTCCCGTCTGGTGGGCTTTTCTACATGCATCATCGTCTTCCTTCAGTTCAAATAAATACCTGTATTTTGGGAAATAAAGCATTACAAAACCACATTTAGTTACATGACAGCATTCACTGTTCCTACATCCCTCTCCTACCGTGGTTATTTCCTCTTATTTATTTACACACTAAACTGCTCTTTAAAGGATTCGAGGTGGCTGCAGGCCATCAGTCCCTCCTTTGTCCTATTGTATTCCTTGCCAATATTTTTGTGGTTGCACTTAACCTTATATTGTCTGTTCATTTGTCTGTCTCCTTAAGGGCAAGGTATGCCTTACTTCTGTATCTCCAGTAATTATGGCTCAATTCCATAAATACTTATTGAATTGAACTACAAGGGTAATAAATATTTACTAAATTGAACCTCAAGGCACATTGCCAATATTACACTGTGAAGCAAGAATTCACATGCAGTGGATTGAGAGGAAAACAAGTACAGTGATAAAATATCAACCACAGAATACCTAGAGATGCAAGCAGACTTCATTATTGCAGACAAATAGTAAAAACACTATATTTCAGTAACTCGCCTTTGATCTAGGTATGATAAAGTGCAAATTTTATCTTCAATGCACAATACATCCTTGTTTCAAACATCTAGTTCCCAGGTGGACACCATTTGCTCCTTATTTTTACTGAAGGCAACAAGTGAAGCCATTACTGGTCTTATCTAGTAAGTAATATTTTTAGTAGCCAAAATAAAAATGGGGAAAAGATTATATATATATATATATATATATATATATATATATATATATATAAAATCTATAAAGCAAGTGTGTGTGTATATATATATATACACACACACTTGCTTTATAGCCAGGTGCAAACATTTTACACAGTAACCAAATGTCTGTGAAGCGTTTTCCCATGCCTTATCTTATTTGATCCTCACAGAAGTCCTGGAGTAGGTAGATAGGAGACTTGGTGAAATCCTATTTTCTTTTAATTAGCCAGAGACTTAGAAGGTTTAGAAACTTGACCTGACTGAAAAGAAGTAAGAAATGGTGGATCTTGAAAATGACTTCACTGAGCAGAATATAGTCCAACTCTGTTGCAGTTAAATATCTTACCCTTTTTCTCCCTGTGTGATCTACAATAATAATGTGCTTCATGAAGATAGTTATGCTGTTGTTGACAATTACCTGAAAGAGAAGTTGGGGTGCTTCACTGGGCTGGGAAAAGTGTAGCTAAATCAGAAAGCAGGTCTAATTAAGCAAGTTTGTTCTGTATCTATAAAAGGCTAAGTAGACTCGCCCATGCACAATACATATAAAGTTCTCCCATTGATTGCATGGGTGTGTTTCCATCTGTCATTGTTGATCATGAATTTGGTTGACACTTCTATTATAGAGAAAAGGTGAATAGTGATATTAAAATATTTCTTCTAATTCATTTCCTTTCAATGTGCACGAATTTGCACTGGGACACTAGTATTCTATAATTCACTTCTATTATAAAGGAAATCGTACAGTGGCAAGTTCTAGGCTTTCCAGTACCTTCATTAAAGGTGGCCTTAGTCTATCCTTTTAATAAGAGCCAGAATCAGATCAATAATCCTATGATGTCAGGATGCTGGGGAGGGGCAGGGACTGAATATGGATTCTCTTTGGGGCTCTAGGGATATCCATTCTTGCCTGTTAAAAGCCTAAAACAGACTTTCGTATATGGCATATCTGTCACTTAATCAGGAAGCCAGGTTTACAGATTTTTAAAAAATATTTTATTGATTTTTTGCAGAGAGGAAAAGAGAGGGATAGAGAGTTAGAAACATCGATGAGAGAGAATCATCGATCAGCTGCCTCTTGCACACCCCCTACGGGGATTGTACCCGCAACCAAGGTACATGCCCCTGACCAGAATCGAACCTGGGACCTTTCAGTCCCCAGGCTGACGCTGTATCCACTGAGCCAAACCGGTTTCGGCTACAGATATTTTCTGTAGGATCTTGCAAGCTTGTATAACCCTAGTAGGCGGAGTTGACTCAACATGAAAAACCACAAAGCAAAATGATAGACACACCCCAGCAACATCTTTAGAAACTGTGTTTGACTGTGTGATGAAAGGGCTTACAATGATCTCTTTATAGACAGACGCAGAGGAAACCTGAGATTTTAATACTTGTGATATTTTTAAACTTAATATGAGTGGCTGCAGCCTCCCAGAGCAAAGACTTGATGGCTGTCAGAGGAGAGACATGTGCCACTCAGAAGTTTCCAAATGAAAACAATAGAGCAAACACAGCTGCCTTCTCAAAAGCACAGAGCGAGTGGCACAACATGTGCTTTGCCCTAATGACCCTAAAAAGAAAAACACCGAGTTAAGGCCTTAAGCCTGGGGCCTCACTAGAACTGGAACTGAGGTCCAAACAGTTTCGTACAGTTTTCTTAATGAGAAACACTATGTTTTAAAATTTATTTCCCCCATTTGGTTACAATAGCATGGAAACCATAACACTAAGATAAAACAAACTTTTTAAATTATTATTATTAAAGTAAAAAATAGTAATTTTATAAAAATCAGGAAATACATTCATCAATTTTTTCAAAAAAGGAAATCGTTAAGAATCCCACCACTCAGATATAATACTGTTTGACGCTTGGAATTCTCCAAACTATTAATATTATGTATCTATACATATTTAGATCTATTTAGACTCAGACCTACTAATTTGTAGCCTTTTTTTCTTAAACATATTATCATTTTTACACTGTATTCCTTACTAATAGAATTTTATTCTTTTCTCATGATTTTTATTACTTTTTAATATATTTAATCACATCAGCATACTCATTTTTTAGACTATCCAATAATTCTATCATTTCTTGAGAACTGCAAATAAACTAAATGCCCAACAATACTAAAACAAGTATTGCAATTTTGCTGCATCCTCAGGCTTGCTCATGTCAGATGCTATGCTTGTGTGCCTTTCATTTTGGATGGGCAGTTACGCTGGGAGAAGCAGTGGTTGTGAGTGTTCTCTCCTGGGGAGCATTGCATTAGCTCCCGGCAGGTGAGGTATCAGTCTAGGACTACTGCTTATATTCATTTCTTCAGGAGCGGTCTCTGGACCATACCATATCACTGGCGCAAATTTAAGCCCTGAAACTCTATGAGAGCAGGCTAGTGATTTCAAATTCAAAGATAATCAAATTTGCCCAGACTGAGACAAAGAAGTCATTTGTCATTTTCTTATACTGGTGTAGATTTCTTTTTTCTAGTCTACCTTCCACTGAAGTTCAGTTCTTTGGTGGTGGTGGGTACCAGGATTGGAGTTATTTACCTTATTTTCAGGAAACGTCATGAACTATTATTCAGTATAGTTTTTAATTCCATCATATGGAGGTACCATAATTTAATTAATTCCTCCCAGTTCGTTCAGCCACTCAAACAAGGCTTCAGTGCCAGCTACGTGCCAGGTTCTGTTTTGAGCACCAAAGGTTACCATAGTGGAAAAGACTAAGTTCCGATCTCACTAGAACTGATATTTAAGTAAGTCAGATATTTTAGATATTACTGGAAATTTAATTTATTTAGAATTTTTTCAAGTGTAAATAATTTTCAGTGAATGTCCTTATATGTACATCACAACCATAATCCTCAGTATAGGAGTTTGAGAATTTTATAATTTAATGGGCCAAAGACTGAGTAATCAGAGTTCGGGTTGGTTAACTTACCGGGTCTTAGTGACATAGGTTGACAGCAGCCTATAGCACCAAAAAGATTTTCTCCTGCAAGCAATTCCACAATACAGAGACATTGTCAGGTCCTTAGAGGAAAGAGGAGTTGGGGGGAAAAAAAAAAGAAAAAAGAAAAAAAAAAGATCATAGTATGCAATTTAAAATAATGAATCACCAAAAGGGTTATACTTTAAGCCAGAATAATATTACTTTTTAAATATTAAGGAAAGAGAAACTGAATAGAAGTCATATGATCTGGTTTCTAAGTTGCATTTCTACCACTAACTAGCTATGGGTTTTAACTTTTCAATACCTTTTTCCTAATTTACAAAATTAAAACCTGTTCTGCCTCCCTACTCTGTTGTTATGAGAATCAGTTAACTATCTACCCATGAGAAATGGTGCTGTCCTTCCAGACTGGGGAATTGTTGCTGGGAGGTAGCTGGGGATCCAAGGCCTACATTTCTCTCCTCCCTTGCATAGAAGCAGAGTCAAAACCAATGGAATGTGCGGGGCTGAAGTAGTTGAGAAGTGGGGATGCTTTTTCCCCTTCTGCTTGGAAGATTCTAGAATGACACTTTATTAGATCCTTGAATCATTACATGGGAAAAGTCACCTGTCAACCAACCCCCCACACACACACACCAGCCTTGGACAATTTGTGAGTGAGAAATTAACTTCTACCATGTTAAGCCACTGACATTTCAGAGTTTGTTACAGCAGCTAGCATGACTCTGATAGACCAAGGAAGCATGGGAAGGTCTCCAGAGTAATAGAACCACATTTTTCAGAATATGAAACAGGAGGAATCCTATAGATGATAAAAATATAAAAATCATGGCTATTAGGGAAATATTGCAAAAACCCTAGTTGGTTTTGCTCCGTGGATAGAGCAAGTGTCAGCCTGCAGGCTGAAAGGTCCCAGGTTTGATTGCAGTCAAGGACACATGCCCAGATTGTGGGCTTGATCCCCCCCCCCCCCCCCGTAGGGGGCCTGCAGGAGGCAGCCAATAAATGATTTATCTTTCATCATTGACATTTATCTCCTTTCTTCCTCTCTGAAATTAATGTGTGTGTGTGTGTGTGTGGCAGCAATACATGGATCTAAGATATTTTCTACTTTTTTGCATCTCATTGTGAGAAAAAAAATGCTCTGTGTTAAGAATATACAATGAGGGGAAAAGAATAAATTCTATAGAAGGTGATTCCTCTTAAATTGCATATCAGTGAGCATTTTATTTCCCATAAGAAATACATTTCATATTAGCAATAAAAGAGGCAAGAAGTTCCACTGAAGTGAAAAAATCAGTACAGTTAAATAATCATCCACACTTTTAACTTTGTCCAAGGGAAACAAACTCTGACATGAAAGTACTGAAGAACATTTAAAGTTTAGGCCTACTTCTTGGCTGTATCATTATGAAATGCTGATGACTAATCCTTGGGCAGTTTTGGCTCACTTTGTCCCGGACAAGGGTAAATTATATTTGGCAAATGACATTCAACAAAGTACTTACCGAGTACTGACTTTATGCAAGGGCCGTTAAGGAATATAAAAAAATGTACAGGATAAAATCCTGCCTTCAAGGGGCTCTAGCAGAGAGAGAGAAAACTATAACTTCACAGAAGGCAATATGTGATATGTGGGTTACAACGCACCCTAGGAAAGTATTAAAGTGATCAGACTTGCGTTATTATTGGAAGAAATGTATTTAAAGTCAATATTTCTGCCTCATATACAGCTCTGAGAATGTAATAAACATTCCTTTCACCTAGAAATTCCACTTCTAGGAATTTATCCTAAGAAGGAAAGGCTATGCGTAGGAATGTTAACTGAAAATTATGACAAAAAGGAATAATATACAGCTGTTAAAATAACAGTGGAAGACTATATATGTAGTAAGAGGAGAATATATTCAGAATATATTAAGAAAAGTAAGAACTTTTTGGTTCTTTTAGCCTCATCTAATTAATTTATAAAGAAAAGGTATGCATATATATATATATATGTGTGTGTGTGTGTATAATATATATACATATATATACACGCCAGAATACATAAATTAGATACATATTCATTTAAATTTATTTTTATGGATTTCAGAGGGGAAGGGAGAGGGGGAGAGAGAAACATCAATGATGAGAAAGAATCGTTGATTGGTTGCCTCCTGCACACCCCCCACCAGGGATGGAGCTCACAGCTGGGGCATGTGCCCTGACTGGGAATCAAACCATGACCTCCATAGGTCGACACTCAACCACTGAGCCACGCCGGCCAACCTTTATTTATATTTTCAAAGTAACTAGAAGTACACATACCAAATGGTTATTAGTGGCTAATTTGGTAGAGTGGAGTGAAGATAGAAATTGAGAAGGGTACCTGTAAATTTTACTCTCTACATTCCTGTACTTCAAAAAATTTAGCCAGTGTTCGTACTCCTTTACAATCAATTAAAATATAATAAATAATTCCTGGGACTCATGGAACAATGAGGCTATTTCCAAGCCACTGTTCCTAGTAAGAACCTCATCACATTCACCCCAGAGCCAAAAGGAATACCTTTGATAAATTCCTTGAATCCTGAAAACCTAAGAGCTTTTTGCTTGTAGTTATGACTACTAGCTAATCTGTGTGGCCCACTGCACTTGACTGCCTCATGTCTTGCCTACTTCCTGCTATTAAATATGGCCCTTTGTGAAGTGTCATGAGCCCCATGGGGTGACCTGCTGACGCAAGGGGTGGTGGTTGCAGAGCTTGTAAAAACATGGCAAAGTTCTTAAGGTAGCTTTGAAGAAAATGTCAATAATCAAGAGGAAAAAGACTTCTTTTAACAGAGAATTGGGCTTCATCGGTACAGACATAAGCCTAGTAGATAAAGATTAAGTCTAATTCTTTTTCTAAATGGACCCTTATGTATTTTTTTAAAAAAATTTTATTTCTCCTTGTGTGTTTTCATAGACATCTTACATCCCTCTGCTCAAAAGCCACATTACAAACAGAATAATTGTTATTGTTTGAATTGGCAACTGCCATCATATTTTGATGTCTGACAGCACTCTGGGGATGAAAGTTCACTATTCACAAAATACAGGGTGACGCAAAAGTAGGTTTACAGCTGTGAGTCCGTGAAAGTTTGTTCTTGTGTTATGTCCATACAAACAACTGTAAACCTACTCTTGCCACTCCTTGTACTTTTGGCAGCACCGTTACTTTACGGGGCAAGCTTACCAGTAAGACTGTCTTCTGTTTTTACAAAGGCATGTCTCCAAAGCAGAAGGAACCGCGAGGTGAGCACTGGAGAGACCCGACCCTTCATTCCTGGCTCCCCCACTGACGGAATCTGTGGCCTGGGTTCTCACTTTACCTGTCAGCTTGGTTTCGGGCTTGCTTCTCTCAGGGGAAGGAGAGTATGGACCTCAGGTGGGTTACAACTATGTCAGCTTGTGCATACTAATTCTCAGCTCTGTTACACTGTGAAATGCTTTACAGTTAGAATTGCGTCTTCCATTCTCTACAGCAGCTAGCACAGGGTAAAACACACTATACATCAATGAGGAATGAATGAATGCATGCATGTATCCCATTTTACGGAGGATAAAGCTTGAAGAAGTGGACCTCTCTAGGGAGCCGCAGTCAAACCCTGGGGCTATCTGGTTCTAAGGCTCTTTATTTTATTTTTTAATTTTCATTGTTGAAAGTTTTACATATGTCCCCTTCTTCCCCCCCCCATATTGTTTATGTTTTCATATATATATTTTTTTTTTTAATTTTTTTACAGAGAGGGAGAGAGAGTTAGAAACATCGATGAGAGAGATACATCGATCAGCTGCCTCCTGCACACACACACACACACACACACACACACACACACACACCCACTGGGGATGTGCCCGCAACCAAGGTACTTGCCCTTGACCGGAATCGAACCCGGGACCTTTCAGTCCACAGGCTGACACTCTACCCACTGAGCCAAACCGGTTTCGGCTATGTTTTCTTTTAATACAAATACTGAAGGAGAGAAAAGGTAATATTGTTTTCACTGTAAACTGTTAAATGATGAGGCAAATCTCTCTGTAATGAATGATTCACACATTTCTCATCCTGTTCATCTTAACATTAGGAAGATTTAGTTATAAAGCACTACAGCATGACAAATGCCCACTGTGAAGCTCTGGTTAATCTGCCAGGAGGCAGGTTCCGTGGTGTCTGAGAGAACCCTTTTCAGAGTCTGTCTTTCCGGGCTGGGAGGGACTAAGTCAAGGAGCCGCTGGGATAGATTTCAAGGTCTCACAGACCAGCTTTATTTTCTGAATACTAATTTACGTTCTGAAAACTAACTTTCCCTCCCTTATATAACTCAGGCACAATCAGAGAAGTTAGTAAATTCCATTTTTAAGTGACCCTCCAAAAAATTATTACGTGTAGTTAGTAGATAGTTCTACAGGTTATGATGCAAAGCTGTGGTCACTCCTGGTTTCTGTAAGAAGGAAACGGGACTAAGCAGGAATTGCAAAATGCTGTAACAGAGGTTTTTCTCCAAGTTCTGGTTATGCCTCCTGCACTTAGAGCCGGAACAGGTTTGTCCTGCTGTACTCACTCTGAGTTGTGTTGGAGGGTGCCGTCCTAGGCCTCAAAAATCAGCAGATACCAGGAAATTCCAAGTGTTCCTGGGAAGTTGGGCTTCCCTCGTCCAGAGCTGCCTCAGCCACACTTCCCAGAATCCTCCTGAAGATGCATTCTGGGAAATGTAGTTCAATCAATAGGCTCTCCAGCTACAAAGTTAACTAGGGTTGTCAAAAGCAGGATCTTCTAAGATTTTCTAAGTCCATTAGCAGAACTTCTGTGTCTTTGGAGAAGGCAGATCAACATAAGATCCATTTTTTTCTAATAACAAAAGGATAAAATTATTAAACTAATCATGCACAGAAAGTATATTTTGTGGGGGGAGGCGAGGAGATTGGGGCAGGAAATAAGATACCTTTCAATTTCTCCGCATCTCTAATCCTCTGTCTGCCCACTTTAGAACAAGCTCTAACATTTTATGAATTTTTTTTGTGTGCCAACACCCTGTTTTATTAT